CATGTTTTTCCAAATCCATAAGTCTTTCATTCAACTTTAGAACACAACGATTTCTGTTCCATCAATAGAAGTCTATTCACACAAAACTCTGACGCATCAAAACGAGAACGTGAAATAAATCCATATGAATCTAGCATGTTTAATCCAACTGAAGAGACTCGCTTTATATGATGAACAGATTTAATTTAGGCTTTTATTCACATATAAAAATTGTTCAGCGAACGTACATATTGCATTCAAATTTGGTAAACGGAAGCTCAAGCATGCTCACTTGAAGAGCAAGAACCAATGAGGTTCATTCTCACGTGTCACTCCAGCACATTTGAGCTTCCGCAAGAACCAATGAGGTTTTTTCTTGCGCGTCAAGAAAGCATGGTTGAGCTTTTGTTTATGTTCGCTGATCAATGTTAATATGTGAATATAAGCCTAAATTAAAACTGTTCATCGTATAAAGTGATCGTGTCACTTCAGAAAACTTGGATTCAACGGTTTTTTTTTTTACAATCTATTTATAAGCGTTTTGAACATCAGAGTTTTGGGTCAATAGACTTTCAAAAGATAGACAGACATGATGAGATTTCAATAAAAATATCTTCATTTTGTGTTCCGAAGATGAACAAAAGTATTACAGGTTTGGAACGACAAATTATGACACTTTTCATTTTTGGGTGACCTATCCCAAAAACATAAAATAACAAGATCAGATTGGTTAATCTTACCAAACTCCATCTTTCGGAGGTTTTGAGTGTCTAAATTGAGGCGGAGTAGAGGGAGATTGTGGAGACGCCCGCGGGGGACCGACATTCTGGTTCCTGCCACTCCAGGATGAGGTTCCGTGGGAGGGAGGGGTGTGTCCGTGGCGAGGTCTTTGCTGCTGAGGTGGAGGTGGGGTGGAGCGGAGGTGTGCATAGAGCTTACCCAGAGGGCCATGTCTCCTCTCGCAATGCTTTTCGAATGCCTGAGGCTTCACCACCTGACTGCAGTGGCTACACACCACCAGGAAGAAGTCATCGTGCCCAGGATAATGACCGAAGATGGACATATCTGCAGAAGCACAAAACAATAGGGACAAATTAGCTATGATCGAAAGCTCATACTACAGAAAATGTTTCTAAATGCACACATTTTTCCAGAGAGAAGGACTCAAGTTAACTAAACATGCTAGGCAGCTCATACTACTGACCGTCCAATATTATGAAATTGTGTTTAAGCTATTTGTTCAAAATAAACTAAATTTGATCATCTTAAGGTTATCAGCATTAGTCAAAAGCAATGTCTGCTTGCACAATTAAGTTAAAACTCACTTAAAACTGAAACCAGAATAAATATATATTCATCAACTAGGCTGTCAGTAATTTTCTTAATTGTTGACCAAAAAATAAATCCAGCAATTTTTAGTCTCACCTGACAAATAATGTGCATATTGACATAGCTACCACATTGGTATTGTTTTAAAGAAAACAAATATATTTAGGTTGACCACTACTTTCTTAGTCATAATTGAAAAACTCCAATGGTCTTTATTAGAAAAATGTTAATTATAAGGGGTTTTTACTACTAGGATGAAATTACAGTATGTTAGAATGGGTTTACAGGTCAGTCAATGTGGGAATTTCAATGGTTTGTGCCAAAATGTAAAGAGACGGGTGGTTGATGGATTATATAATGCTGATAGGTTGAATTTAGGTAAATTGCACTGTTTAAACTGGGTAATTTACCTGAGTTCATCTTCTAACATTGTAATAATAGCTGTTGAATTTAAACTATTGATAGGCTATTGAATGAAAAAATATGACACTTACTTGAATTTCACAAAAGAACATGTTTATTATACATTTATAAGGCTGTTTATAGATGTTGGACCTGAGAGGAAGAACCACCACATTATTTGTTAATGTTGATAATCTCAAAACAGCCAAATACCGGCCAATTATTCAGCTTATATATCAGTCCATCACTAAATGGGGTCATTTAATGATAATATCGCTGTCTCCTGATTAAATCAAAGTAAAGTATATAACGCCTACCCTCTTTCCTCAGCGTCATGGTATCCATCGTTTTTTTGCCATTCTTGCTGTACTCATCTCCATCGGACCCTATGAAAAGTGATTGGAGGAAGTGTAGAGAGAGAGTACATAAAAAACATGACCTTTATTGAAGCATTATCCATCAATGCTTTACCAACACATATGCGGCTCTTATACATCCAACCTTCAAATCCAACAATCCAAAAGGCCGGAAACATGGTAAACATTGAGAAGGACGTGTCCCCTCCAATATTCAGATCTATGATGGGTTCTTCTAAGGTGGACTATATTTGGTCCAGAATAGATGGTTACAGTCTTGAATGCACTATATGGAGTCAACTGTGAGAAAAAGGGACATGTATTGAATTACGCATACTATGGTGCTTAATGGGAGTAATAATATGGGATCAAGCCAATAGTTTAGGTTTTATTCCCCAAGATTTTCAATGTGAAATGCAATCTGTGCCATGAACTGGTCATCTATGAAGCACAAGCTCTTCTGTGGGTGGGGCCAAAATAAAAACTACCTGCAAATGAAGCCTGCACTATTAACTGATTTGATAATGTGCCCGTTGACAAAACGAGATTCGTGGTTTCAAACTGATTGCGTTTGTTACATTTGAAGTTCCAGACAAAACGAACACGGAACACGTTCTATTATGACGACACTGGTCAGAGAGAGAGCGCAAGCGCGTAACCCGGCCGGCACTAGGACCCGGCAGGTTCTTTGTTTGGGTAACATGGTATGGGATGCCGTGCCTTTTCCACGAAAAATAAAGCACATCCGTGAGACTTTTTTGTGGTTGATGGATAAATACCGGCAACGAAGTGCTCACTCACCCTCCGATGCTGTCAGGTTGGCTCTTTCCGTCCAGACGCTCCAGCTTTGGCCCACGAAATCATCGAGACAAGGCACCCGCCGTTCCAGAGCAGCCATTACTTTAAATGCGCGTTCACGCACCGCCATCATCACTGCGCGGCAAGGCGCTGACGTCACATTGCGCGCTCCCGCGGGCGCAGAGGGAACCTGCGTGTGCGCGCACTTGTTCTGTGAAATGTAGAATTTTCTTTTATCTGGTTTTTATTTATAAATTTTCTTTGCATTATTGCTTGTTTTATTTGTGTTTTGATGTATTTTTGCTATTTTTACTGTACAAAGATTCAAACCCATTTGACATTAAACTGAGTAGAAATATTTCACATTCTTAATAAAATACGAAATTATTTATATATTTTTATAAGAATCGTGATGATTAACCACATAAAAAAAAAAAAAAAAAAAAAAAAAAAAATTCTGAATGGTTCAAAAATTCAGAGAAATATATCTGTCTCGATTTTTTCATTTACTTAATCGCTGGTGTTCTAGTTAGAAAGCATGGAGAACATCAGCAATCCACACGTTTATCATTCACGTGTGTTGTGAATTTGCCTATTTTTTTTATTATCTTCATCCCCCCCAAAACTTGTGAGTGTGATTTAGTTTGATGAATTTATTGCGTTTACAACACTACCACCTAGTGCAGCCTTTTGGAAATAAAACACGAACCAATATTTACATCTCTCCTCTTTTAATACTAACGAAAATCAGCCTTTGTGGAGATTTTCCTTCTGAACTTAGCATAGAGATACAAAACACAACAACAAAAATGTAGGCCTATATTTTTCCAAAAGTCACAACCAAAATTGAGGATTGCTTCAGGACAAAAGTTAGACAGTATGTGACATGAGGAAATTCTCTTGAGATTTTAAGATGGCACTTTGAACTTTTTTCCCCCTTTAATCACAGCTATAATAATTTATATTAATAATTTTATGTTTAAGTCTTCTTTTTCTAGCTATGTTGACATACCAGGTAATTGGATTAAATCCTTTAGATGTGCCAGTGAATATTAATTTGAAAGTTAATCATACGATTAAAACAACTACTTATATAATATAATAATAAAAAATAAAAAAAAATTACCAATTTAAAATTAAACAAATACCAACCAATTTTCAACAGAACATAAGCTACACACAGACAAATCACAGCTATTGAACAATTACTCTGTATTTTAGGTTTAAACTGAATGCAATCCCCATAAATGTATCTTTCTGTAAAAAAAGAAAAGAAAAAAAAAGATGGTAAAACATGCCACAGATGCACAAAATTAAATGTTCTTTTTTGCAAATAAAAACATCAACCCACGTGATACAAATGCTTAATTTTCAGTGTCAAGTCAAACAGCCAAATACAAATAATGACAACATTACTACTCTGAACAGTAGAAAAACAATCAAACAAGTGATTTCTTCTGTTGAACGATGACTAGTTAAATAGTTAACATATCTTTCCTGATAGCAAATGAAATATGGCCTTTGGCGTAGTAACTATTATTGCCAAATACCACTTCAAAAAGAGTCAACTCAGAGAATTCACACAAGGATGTAAAATAAAGGTTATAGACTAAATATCAGAGGCTTTATGACTGAAACCAAGATGATTTTTTTGTCAGTTTATCCTTTTCTGACAAAAGTAAGGTGACTTAGTTAGTTGTCAAAGGTGTTTTGGGTGTGCATAAACATCCTATCGTGAAAGTAAATGAAAAGGCACTTAAACCAATAAATAGTTTTTAAAAACTACAGGGAAAGTCAAGCTTTAAATGTCTAGAGCTAGATATTAGAGTGCTAATGTTTTTAGTGCTCACATACGAGCTTTCAAATGCAATGTCTGTTCATTGTAGCGGATATTTCGAGTTATTGAGATGCAGGTCATCTTTATACCAAATTAGACAAATTAATAATAAAAAAGAAAAACATCAATAACCTAGAACACAAGTTAGCTTGTAAGTTGTAATAGAAATGCTACTGATCTAATAAAATTTGGTTTCTTTTTTTGCTTTGCTTCAGACGACCTGCTTGACAGGATTATCATCTGACAGGGCCATCAAACAGACACTAAAATAAAAATAAAAATCATAAAGAAATGATGAATTCAGCTTATAGCGTTTATAATGTAGTGAACTGCAATGCATGGAGCTAGAAACAAAGCTTTAGCATGAACAAACGATGATGTGGTCTGCTTGATGAACGGATGGACAGGAGAGGAAGGAGGCCGTCTTGTCGTATTAGGAGGTGGAAACTCCTTCCTCTACGTTGGGTGGCGGATTGGCCGGCTTATGATACGGAGTCTCCTTGTAGATGAACCAGCAGTTCCCTGCCCACAATATCAGGTTTAGGAATCCAAAAAGCTAGAAGACACAGAAAAGAGAAAGACACATTTAGTGCTTCAACTACTCATTTCGGCTTAGAAGTTAATTACTAGAAGGACAATGTCATCACAATGAACCACACTTTTCTCCTACAGGTCTTTGAGATTATTTCTAAATCGTGGTGTAAGTAATTTAGCTAACTTTAACCTAACAACCAGGGGCCTATACCATGAAGCCGGTTTAGGCGGCTAGCCAGGTATGTTTCAGTTTAGTTTGCGCCAACCTTGCGTTTTAGGCACAATGAAAGAGGTTTGTCTTTTAACAACTTACGCTGCATGTCTGATGTAATAGTCACTCCCCCTGTTTCTACTGATTTTTAAAGACAATTTCAAAAGTGAATCCCATGCTTCATTGTTCCACAGCATGTGATTGGCTGTTCAATACTGATGTCACATCTAAACTCAAGATCAAAGCCTGAGTTGACAGAGAAAGTTGATGATCAGCATCATGGTACCAACAAAGCCGGATTGGATTGGTTTGGTTTCATCAACTCGAAACTCGAACCCATCATGGTACAGGCTTTTCATATTGCAATAGTAAAATGAAACTTAACCCTGTAAAGCCTGAAATTTGAAATAATAGTCAAATATTTTTTTTGACAAATATATATATATATATATATATATATATATATATATATATCATTTGCGTTTTTTGTTGAGTATCATATTTGATACATCAGGCTTTTATGGCTCATATAGCATGATATAGTAGCATATGTTGCTCATATTTGAGAAGGAATAAAACACCTCAATTTTATACAGATGTCCAAACTGAACAAAAATATGCAGTTTGGTGCAGAAACTGATATTTATATGGCCAAAAAGTAAAAGGTTTTCATGGAAATCAATGGCATCTTTATAACAGTATAGCGACTACTTGCATAAAAAGCATTAGTAAGATGATATCAGTTGTCAGTTTATCTCCCAATAAAATATCTTAGTAAAAGAGATTGTAATCTCAATGTGATTTTATTCCCTGGTAAAATAAAGGTTAAAAAAAAAAAATCTTAGTAAGATGCTTAGTTTTATGATCAAAGCTCTGTAGTTTTTATTGTGGGTTTTAACATATAGTCCAATGCAATAGAATGATGATTGAGCGATCTACAAATAAATGTTCCTCAAAAGTTTGATGAGTCATATTGAATACGCACATATTTTTCTAAATGATGATGAATGGATAATCAAGTAAACCGAAGTTGCTTCAACTTATTCTTTGTAAGTTTCATTTACAAAAAATTATTAAAGATTTCATAGAAAAAATAGGACGTTTTTAGAATTATACTAAAAGGCATACTTCCTAAAAAGTATCAACTATGAATCAGGCGATAGAAGGCATGTAGTAGATTGTGTACAACAGGTTTTTCAGCAAAGTTTTGATCATGTTCATAATTTGGAGGCCTGAGTGTCAAATGTGATACAGTAAGCTTTACAGGGTTAAACATTTCTCCATAATTGATCAAATATACAGTCATATCACATTGAGTAAAACTGTCTGTCATGGTCAGTTTATAGGTGTGTGCAAAACCAAGTAGTAGTAAAAATAGATCTGTCTCAAATCAGAGCAATGTTAGGTAATGTGAGGTACATGTTGGGCCAGGTTTAGATCAACTCTAATAAAATATTGCCCAAAGAAATGTTCAAGGTATTAACTAGGCTTAATTTGAAGAAGAAAAATGAGATCAGAACTAACAGGTCGTCCTTACCACAGAGGCATTGAGACGGCCCATAGAGGGGTGGCTCTTCATTGTGCATGTATCAGGCAGACAGTTATGGATTAGCCTTTCAGGATCTGTAGCAAACTTGACATCTGTTAAGCCTTTTCCCCAGGCTGAGGAGCACACCAGCCACAAGAACGCAAAGATCCCAGTCACAATCAGATCCTGGAGAGGAAACAGATTAAAGTTTGGGATAGCAATCCTTGTTCGTGGGAATTGTAGGAGAAAATGGTATAAGTTGCTGTCAAAAGGACAAAACACACAAAAGTAGTCCAACAGTTAAAAGAAAATCGCAAGAGAAGATGTGAAGAACAGAAACAAATATTTGGACAGTTAACAGAAGTGTCAGTGTCAGTTCCAAAAAGTACAGCCGTTACAATGAATACTTGTTTTCTATTAAAATTTTATAAGTGAATTTTGAGTAAATACTGTAAGATCAATGTACAGAAAATTCCTAAAAAGTGCCCCTATTATGTTTTTCCAGATATTACCTTTCATGCAGTGTGTAATATAGCAGTTTGTGAATGTAAAAGGTCTGCAAAGTTTTAAAGATGAAAGTGCATGATAAATGGAGTTATTGCTTCCCAAAAAAAAGAAAAATCGATTCTGAACCGCCTTATACGAGACGTCTAATTCCAGTCTTACTTCCTGCATGAACATTTGTAGGTTGGTACCAAATTTGCATAATGGTTTTCATTGGCTGCCAGCAAATAACATCCACTTTGACCCGCCCAGGATTTGTACAGATACTGTAAAATTAAATTCCAGGACTTTCAAGGACTTTTCAAGCACTACTTTTTAGGGTTTTTTTTTAAGGACTACAATCAGATATCGCACTTATCAAACAATATTTTGTACGATTTTTTAAACTCAAATTACAGAAATAAGGTTTCCAAATTACAACTTAGAACGCATTTAATAATATATATTAAATACAAAGTTTATAATGGCTATTATTGTTCAATAAATAATATTTTATATTATATTGTTGGCGTACTTCATACCGAGAAAGGTCTAATGGGTTATTAACAGACGGACTGCAGTGTTAATTTCGCATGAAAAGATGTTATTTGTGTTTAAAAAAAAATAAAAAATTCATATATATTGTATTTAAATAAGTCACGCACTTTTCAAGTACCTCTTCGTAAATATGGCTGTTTTCAAGGGTTTTCCAGAACTTAAATTTCAAAAATTCGGAAGTACTTTAAGCACCTTGTACAAACCCTGCCCGCCCTCAAACACTGTAAATGTAGCTGAGACTGGAAGAGTTTGGTTTGTGTTGTCTCCATGTCGAGAAGATGCTGTTTTCTGAGCTTTAAAAGCAAATCCACTTTGCTGCACTTCCAAAGGATGAGGACTCAAATTGATATGGTAAAACCAACATCATTGTTACTGTTGCTATCACTGTGTATCCACTGAGGAAGATCCAGAGCTGAAAGTCAGATGTGGTAATGAGGCGTTTGGTTTCCGACACGTGCTGTAAGCGGTAGACCAATCACAACAGACTGGGCCATCTGACCAATCAGAGCAGATTAGGTTCTCGGAAAGGAGGGGTTTAGGGGCTGTTTACACGACACCATTTTCAACTAAAAATGTCAAACTTTTTATGCGTTTTAGCTGTTCATTTACACGACAATAGCATTTTGGGGGCCTGAAAACGCAAACTTTTGAAACAAGTTTTCAAAGTGCACCATTATTTTCTCTGTGTAAACTACAAAAATGTGAATTTGTGAAAATGGTGATGTCGTGTGCATGCATTTTTCGTGTTCAGTCTATAGGTGCGTAGTGTTTCTTTACAAAGTGACATCGCCAACTACTGGCCTGGCATGCAAAACACAGCGTTTTTAGTCGTTCTCCTGGATCCGTGTGAATGGGGATTGTTTTGACTTGTCTATACGCGAAAAACTTTTTCTGTTTTTAGTACATCGTTGTCATGTAAATGAATCCTTTATTAATCCTTTAACTAGACACTGTGAGAAAAGAAGTGAAAAAGAAAATTAAAGTGTTTTTGTCCTTGGAAGCATGTACAACTATTGTAGAAGTCCTCCAAAAATAAATTTGGAACCTTTAGCCTAATAGGGGCACTTTAAATAAAATAAATATCACATTTGCAACAAATAAATTGCATCATACAGAAATTATATTGGCTGCCCTACCATAAGACGTCTACTGAAAAATGCATATTGGTCGGCCATAAATGAATAAACTGTAAATCAAATCAATTAAAAAAATCATCACTAAACATATTTTAATATTATATTAAATCTTCTGTATCACAAAAATCATTTTGTTCCAAACAAGGAGTCACAAACTCTTAATGTCTTGCTATTGATTCATGACAAGTACATACAAAAAAATATCATGCAAATGACAATTGCACAAAGATAATAATTCACACACTCACAATCACTCAATGCTTTAAATAAAAAAAAAAATGAATTGACTGATGACTCACAATGGTGGGGCCACGGTTAGACTCCCTGTAAACATGCTGGTAGCCCAAGTACAGGATGAGGGTGAAAGTACAATACAGGAAGCCCAAGACTCCCACAGCGACGAAGAACTCAGCCGAGGAGGAGAAATCTCCCTGCAGGTAGGTCGCGTTCGTTGTCTTATTGCAATAAGCAATGTCATAGTGCTGACTTGGGAGCCTGATGAGTAGGAGTCACACGTTTAACATGTTTTGTATGTTAAGCAAAATACTAGAGATGCACTGATGTATCTGCCCGTAATCGGTATCAGCTGATAAAAGCATTTAAGCATTAAAAAAAAAAGAGAGGAGCTGAATTACTGTTAATTATGCTTGAATCAATTCGCATTAAGACAAGCGTTTATGAACCGAGTTGCATAGAAACATTTCAGTTTTTATTTGAGTGTAATTATTATATCTGAAAATAAATGCCAGTTGAATATAATAGCTCTGTTGTTAATTTTAACCTCTAATATTGTATTAATGTATCAAATGAGAGGGTTCCCTGTATAGTTTACAGCATTTTTGGGAGAGATTTGTTTCCTTGAGAAATCAAACTATGGTATTGGTAGATATCATTCTAGATAATATGCCATTGGTATCAGCAGAGAAATTTAGTATCGGTGCATCTCTACAAATTGTAAATGGCTTACTCGTTGCGTGACTTACAGCTGAACAGCATTTTAACAAAGAAAAAGAGATACCTTTATTTTGAAATAATTTGTAAAAGAAATGTGGTTGTTTTACCTAAAAGGATATCCAAAATGAGCAGAAATATCTTCGTGTTTACCACAGTTATGAGTTACCACCGTGGATCCGACATAACCACCAGTGGTGGCAAAGGCACAAATGGTGAAAATCTGAAAACACAATAATCATGATAATAAGACATCTGTGTAGCAGAAGTCTGAAAATGCTCTGTTATGAGTAAACTAGTAAAATAAACATTTATTTTCAGCAATTTCATGTAAGCATTTCATGTTTGATCATTATAAATATTTAGTTGAATTCTATTTTGACCACTAGAATAGGATCTGGATTAAAAAATGTGTTGTGCCTGAATTGTATTAGTGACGGTTTTTACTTTAGCATGTATACAGAAAATAAGACTTCAAAAACATTCATTTAAACCAGCTGTCAGTGAAATGAGAGTGAAATGGATTGAGTATCTGATCCGTCAATGCTTTTCCCTTGCTGACTCACAAATATCCTGGCACGTGGTTCGCTGCTTTCCTTTTACAAACGCTCCACTTCCACACAGGAAGTGGCTTTCGCAGACATTTGTGAGAATAACTACAGTAGCACAGCTCTGATTTATAGATTCTGCAGGTTTTTTTCAGGGCTCAGTCTTTCCCCCTTTTTCTAAGGTGTTTTGCTTTAAAAAAAAATTTTTTTAAAGTGACAGGATTCATAGCAATCATTAAAAAAGATAAACTTTTAAGAGCCATGCTGTAAAACAGAAGATCACTGTGGATTTCGAATTAAGCATATTGTGAAGAAGAACTAATGGGAAAATGCTTAAAGCGATAGTTTACTAACCCTCATATTTTTTCCAACCATGACTTTTTCGTGGGTAAAATGAGAGACTTTAATTTCAGGTGAACTATCCCTTTAAGACAGCTCTACTCGCAGCTTGAGAGTCAGTCAGTGGAAACGAAACACAAATATTCAAACCAAGTTAAAGTTTTACATTTTAATAAGCATTCCAAGGACTGTTCGATCACTGAAGTGTCTCTGTGGAACCCCGTTTAAGCAACATTGAAGGATCTTCTAAGAAACAGTTGCTATTATACAGGAAAAACAATAGTGGGATGCAGAATTTCTGTCCCAGAAGTCCTTTGTGAGAAATTTTGTGGGAGGGAATGGGGATCAACTTTTTTAATTTAAGCTGAGGTGCTAAAATTACTTAAACTGAAATATTATAAAGCTGAAGAGATTAAAAAAAAACACAAACTAATAAATATGACAAAATTACTAACACAAATTAAAATGAAAACTGAAAAATCTAAATAAAAGCTCATTAAATGCATACTGTATCATTTATGTAAAAAAAATATATATATAAATAATAATGTTAGGGATCTGCTAAAATGAATTGGTCACAGTGCAAAATATTACAATGGTCCTAAAAATAGACCTAATTGTCTTTAAGAAAATTATATTTTATGTGAATTAGTATATTTTATATGATTTCTTAAAATTAAAATATTTTCTATAATTACTCTAAATATGAAAAATATAAATAGAATTCCATTTTACACTGAGATTTTTGAAATATGACACTTCTTGACAGCTTTTACATAATTCACAGAAAATAGTACTCTGTATATTAATAAATATATATATTTTTTTCTCTAATATGTTTGAAGTGATAAATTAATCAAGATAAATTTGAACAGACTTAAACAGTCTATTTTCCGGCAGAGTGTAGATTGTTTTCTTCTTTCACTAAACCAGATATCTGATCCTCTGAGACACGCTGGTCTGGATTGCCCCCCAAAATGATTCTATAAATAGCATGATTTCTGCTGCCATGAAAATCACTCTGCATTCTGAAGAGTGGGTGTGTGATCTTCACCCCGCCAAGACTCTGGCTTCATTCCTGGTCAGCGTGTGTGTGGTGCAGGTGCTTGGCACAGAGAAGCACAGCGAGCCAACTAAGGGTGCCTGACACCAAACAGAACCGCATGGTGGGCCGAGATGCCACGTTCACGCTGGAATGCACACCTACACACAGCGAGAGACTATTAAAGAGCGTCTTTGTGTAAATTAACCGTCCCTGCCAGCACTGTCAACCTGATCAGAGGTTTACCTGTAAGCGACCAAAACTTCCTCTCCATTGTTGTATTATTACTGGAAGACTGGGTTGTGGTTGTTAAAAGCAAAAACATCACTGCGGACACATGCTGATTTTGTAGGGAGTGGCTGACATTCTTGCTTTACGTAAATAATCTGTCAAACCGCCTGTTTCCTTAGATTTTTTGCAATTCAGGACATTCTCAAAAAAAAAAAAAAATGCTTATGAATGCATATTACCCTCCTCCACATCCAAGCACTTATACACAGCTAACCAGACCTGTTACACCTTAAAGAACCACCTATTTATTTCCTAGTTCCTACTTCCAGTTCAGCTTGTCTAGATCTCCACATGTAATCTCTAATCTAATGAGATAACAGCTTCATTTACACCTTATGCAAGTCAAATTATATTGCTCTGTGGGTTTTCGTTTTCTGGGATTACTTCAAATGAGCTTGTGATGAAATGTGTCCCCCCTTGTAAACAGCACCTGGATTAAGTTGCTGAAATTCCATTACCTCCATTATACAAAGGATCCAAAACAACACACTATAGTGTTAAATTGCACCTTTTCTTTTCTTTACCACCTTGCACGTTTGGAATTATACTGATTTGCGAAGCCAAAGCAAAACTGTGTGCAAAGTGCAAATGTTTACAAAGGGTCTGGCAAAAGCGAAAGAGATGTAAAACCTGCCAGGTGAGAGAAGAAAAAAAAGATATCGCCAAGAAACAAAGGCCTGACAACATTTAAAGTCACCAAGAAATCAAAATGGACAATTCTTGTTTTTTCATGGAATATTGCAGTCGTGGCCTAATGGTTAGAGAGTCGGACTGGTAACCCGAAGGTTACTGAGGTGTCCTTGAGCAAGGCATCTAACTGGGTGCTACAGCAAAAATGGCTGCTTACTGCTCTGGGTTAGTGTGTCTACGGTTTACAGTGCGTGTGTGTGTGTGTGTGTGTGTGTGTGTGTGTGTTCACTACTCACTGCTCCTAATGTGTGTGCGCACTTACATGGATGGGTTAAGTGCAGAGGACAAATTCCGAGTATACCTTGCCTTCACGTCACTTCACATCACAATTATAAATGATTTATCTGTGCACAACACATAACTATTTTTTAAATGCATGTGCCCGTCTTAAACAGTTCGCGGCTCGAGTCAGCACAGATTTACAAGTTCCTCAATCAAAACTCACTTTCGGACGTGCCTGACACTCACACAGTCTCAAAATAAGCCAATATCCAGGAGTATATGATCCTATGATGCCGGTTTTTGCCAGCTCCAGCGTTCCATTGAAAGGGATACTCCACTTTTTTTGGAAATAGGCTCATTTTACAACTCCCCCAGAGTTAAACTGTTGAGTTTTACCGTTTTTGAATCCATTCAGCCGATCTCCGGTTCTGGCGGTACCACTTTTAGCATACATCATTGAAGTGGACGAGACCATTAGGATTTCTAAAAAAAAAAATTACCAAAGAGTTTCGATATTTTTCCTATTTAAAACTTGACTCTTCTGTAGTACTATACTCTCATTCCTGCGTAATAATCAAGCAACTTTACTGCTGTACCATGAGAGCAGCAGGCGTAATGATATGACGCAGCACCTGAAAATAGTCTTTTGCTGAAAAGCATAAAGTGTAACAAAAAGATCGGATTGAGTCAACAGCAGTATTCTGATAGCAGTTCAAGAGTCAGTTAATGGTTACAACATTTCATGAGCCATCAGTACGCTGAACCGAGGAAACAGTTCACAGTAGACAAAGAACCGATGAGCTGCTGATGCAAGCAAGCTGAGCAGTTGACTTGAGGCAGGAGCTGAAATTAAAGAGTTTTTTAATGGTTTATGCAAAAAGGTAAGTTGATTAAGACTAATTAATTCACTAGTATAGATGTAAAGCATCTGTGTTTCACATCATTATTGGGTGCTTTATAATAATAGCATTGCGTATATGTGACATTATTGTGCGATTATGTAAACTAACTTTTTTTTAACCGGTTCATTGAAACTAACTTTGCGGAAAATAATTGGACTTCCCATCACTATTCTCTTCTCTGATGACGCGTTTACTGGGGCGAGGGCGGGGCAACCTGTCACTCACATGAGATGGACCAATAGCAAACCACAACCGTCCAACCAATATCCCAATGGACACAATCATGGACAAAATTGTTGGAGAAGCTGTTTAACGCTGATATATAAATAGGGAAGGAAAGACTTGTAACTTCCGCTTCATGCCAACTTTAAAGGATCAATGCACCTGCATGGCCTGGACAATTAGGGAATATGTGTTAAACTACATGCTATTTCAGCAAAAGCAGCTGAGATTCTTTTCTGAACATACAACATCACTTCTAAAAATGATCTTGGCTGGTATCAGATATTTACGTCTGTGTTTACGCAAGTATAGTGTCACATATCAACACTGAATTTTGTGGCAGTTAGCTTCTACTTCCGGACTTCTAAACTATATCAGACCAACTGGATTGAATTTCAGTCTAGTTTACAACTAAACTGAGGACAAACAAAAATATATTTAGCTCGCAAGCCATGCAAAAGTAGCTGAGATGACCCTCTGAAGAAAGCTTCTACATTCTAGAATCTATTACACTTTTTTCTAGATCATCGAAACTTAATTGTATAGCACGTAAATCAGATCAGACTGAATCAAAAAGTTAATTTCATATCCAGCCTGATTTCTTAGTAGGTTAATGACCTCCGGAGAGTGAGTCGAGGCCTAGTTACCCACATCAGTCGGAGAACCCTGCAGGTAGGTGTGTTTTATAGCCTTTATAGCCTAGATTTTCCATTGTTTGAAGTGGTATATGTAGTATTAGTCTAAAGTCCACCATAGGATCCTCTTATGCGCATGTGGCAAACATGACTATCTGGGTTGCTCCTACAGTTGGCAATGTAAACACCATTTAATTCTCAAGAGACAGTGTGCAAGGCAGGACATGTGTAAATTTGCATGCATTTGTATGCTTGAGAAGATTTATACAGCACAATCCCTATCAGATGAGACATGTAAAGATGTGTATATGTATAGATGACCGTAATAATGGAAAATATACCAGTTTTGATGCAGTTGTCATTAAATTGACATGGGTGTTGCCCCTTATTGACAAAACAGTACCATATGTGACTGAAACGAACTTGTATCATCGTTTAAACTAAAGGTGCGTGGATATGATCGCATAATACAGTGTTAGACATCTGCAAGAGTGTATCAATTGTAATACTGACCGTCCCATCAAAAATATAACTACAATGTGACATTTGGATCTGCTGAATGATCGCAGTAACTCACCCATTCCAGGATTCGGATAAATCCCAGTGGCTCTTTCACAGGTCCCAAATCCAGACTAAACCCCGACATGACTTTCTGTAAGTGGAGAAAATAAAGAAATCCTTCAATCGATCTCCTGAGCGGAAAACACCACCAAACGGCTGTTAGTGTTGGTTTATTACCTGTAAGATTTCCATGTTTTTGGGCGTGTTTTTATATCGTTGCTAATAGAAAAGATTTCGATTCCAGGATAGTTTCTGATTTCGTTATTAACAGAAAAAGAGTACACACGACAATGACGTTCAAGGTTTTCGCTAGCGGGAAAAATAGAGGACTTGTGTCGACCAACTTGTCAAACTTTCTACAGTGAAACACGTGATTTCAACTTTCTCTTAAAGTGACATACACGCGTAAATGCACTGCAGTGTTGCCAGATCCCTCCAGAAATAGAGAAACATGTACAAAAGATTGAGCTTTTATTGGTGGTTATGAATAAACTGCTTTTATAAAATAGCACAAATTAAGAATAAAAAATATTAAGAACACGAATCTTTATTAAAAGATGATTTCATTTGGCATTTTATTAAGTGGCATTTGCATGACCTTTGTTATTGGATTCGATGTTCTTTAAATAATTGCCTAAAAAACAGACACATATTATCATCTAAAATGTTGGCTCTTAAATATCTTATATGATGGATATTGTGATGAACGAATATAATGTTATAATTATGGGGAAGATTACCCATTTTATCCTAAGAAATCGCAAATATTTTCCATTTAAAAGGTACCAGCATTAGTAACAATATTGTATTTGGTATTGGACTGAAAAAAATACAGGTACATGAGAAAAAAAGCAGCAAATCCCAAAAGTTTAATAAAGCTCAAATACATTTTGCAATAAAAGCTAGTTATTTTTCTAAAATAAGTATAAATGTTTATATACATATATAAAATGCAGAAGAAAATATCTCTGATGCACATCCATGCATGCACACACAAAAGGCCGAATTTTGATTATAGGTAGGCTACGTTTTATTTACAGTTTCATGTACAATTTTGTGGCATTTAAAAATTATTGGAAAAATGTATATCATCCCTTAAATGGCTTGCAATAGACATTAATTAACCCCCTTAAGTTTAATTTCACTTATGTTATAATTAGATTTTAAACATTTTGGTGTCTTTTATTTGTAAAAAATTATTTTGTTACGAGATATATAGGCCATATTCATATCGTCGTCATATGGCACAAAAAAGTATTACGCCCACTCATAGCCAGTGTGCTAAAGGGTAGGAACCTAAGTTGTCCTGAACGTTTTTGTCGGGCGATTATGTATAAACACTTCCTGCACTGTTGAAACTAGCAAACTCACCCTCCACTGCAGAAGGTAAGAAATTCATGTATTGTTGTGCTCTACTGCAGTAAGTCGCAACTCAACAGACAAAAGCATTTAAAACAACAAAGCATATTGTATAAAGTTGTTTTAACGGCCCGTGTGTTGTTTATTTAGTAACGTTAGTAAGTTAAATCGGTTAGCTAACGGCAGATGCTCATGTGTATGGGTTCTCTCATGGTTTAATCAAAATAAAGAACGAAATGTATACAAATCTTATGGGAAAACTGCTCATTGAGCTCAATGAGGGTTTTTAAAAGTGCATAGATGAAAATAAATACGCTGAGAGTATTTTAAAGCGCTCATCTATGAATGACTTGGTTGAAACGAAACATGCCTTGTCATTGAGTGAATGGTGGTTCGACCAATCAAATAGATAGTTGACTCTTAGTCCCGCCTTTCATCTCAAAATCATCCAATCAGTGGAAGAGGTGCCGGTCTCTGATTGGTTATTTATGCTCTCCAATGCCAACATCGCGCCGCTTACATAGCAAGCTGTTGTTTTGTGCTAATTTACTTTGATTATCTAGGTCTGTTTTAACCATTTCGTATTCATTTGTATAGATTTGCATTTCAAAATGTTCCTAACAAGATCAGAATATGACAGGTAAGCTGAAGAATGACCTTTATTTATACTTTATGCTTTCACTGCTATGAACGTCTTTTCATACTTGTGGTGTGTGTGTGTGTGTGTGTGTGTGTGTAAATCATATATGATATTTATATATGATATTTATACACACTTCTTTTCAAAGCATGTAAGTTAATGTCACCATCTTGTCTCGAAACTTTCACTTTCAGTTTTGTTTTGCCAATATAATAAATGCATCCACTCTATCTATGGTTTATTACAGTGTATAAAAGCTATTATTAATACAGATTTGAATATGCTTACTGTGTCGTATTGACTTTTTTTTCCATCCTCAGAGGAGTTAACACTTTCTCACCTGAGGGAAGGCTTTTTCAAGTAGAATATGCTATTGAAGCCATCAAGGTAAATCTTTTCTGTATATTCAATAATATATTGAGTTTTACTAACACTGTCTACTAAAATAATAAGATTATATAATATGTAATATGATGTGTAGCACTTCTTATTACCAGGATATTGTGTCTTTCTCAGCTTTTCTCTTGTTGTAAGAAGTGAATGTCGGTGCTGATTTGCTTTGCTTTGTGCTGTCTTTCCAGTTGGGGTCCACAGCCATTGGCATTCAGACATCAGAGGGAGTGTGTCTCGCTGTGGAGAAGAGAATAACCTCTCCTCTGATGGAGCCCAGCAGCATTGAAAAGATTGTAGAGATTGACACTCATATTGGTTAGACAAACCTTTATTATATTACATGTTCTCTGTGAGGATAAGGGTAATACAGCTAGTTGTGAATGATAATGTTCATTTATTAATACAGGCTGTGCCATGAGTGGCTTAATAGCTGATGCTAAAACGCTTATCGACAAAGCAAGAGTGGAAACACAGGTCAGTGAAAGTGTCTTCATAATCCGTATTGTCACCAAAGCCAAAGAGTCTCATTCAGTAATAATTGTGTATAGGTGGCAGGAAAAGTTTTCACTCCAAATGCAAAAGATTATATTGTAAGCATTCTAGTGTTTCTGCAGAACCATTGGTTTACCTACAATGAGACGATGACGGTGGAGAGCGTAACGCAGGCCGTGTCTAACCTCGCTCTGCAGTTTGGAGAGGAGGACGCTGACCCTGGCGCTATGGTAAGAGCCATTGGGCTTCAATTTTATGGCACTTGTTTTCAGTTCACTGAGAACGGTAGTCTCTAGTTGTGGTTTGAATACAAATGTTCCTCTTTTTTCAACTTTAGAGCCGTCCCTTTGGTGTCGCTCTGCTTTTTGGTGGTGTGGATGAGAAAGGACCTCAGCTGTAAGTATACTTCTTTTGTTTTTAGTATTTAGCTAGGTAAATGTGCAGCATTTTGTTGCAGTAGATATTTAAAACAATTATGAATTTCGCTGATTTGTTTTATTTTGAATGTTTTACCCTGCTTGATGTACGAGTAAGATGAAGAATGACCGTTATCTATACTTTATCTAGAAATCAGAATCTATACATTAGGGGTGGAACGGTTTATGAAATAAATCTGAACCTTTCAATTCACTTGTCATGGTTCGGGTCCGGCCACGCACAGCGTAACGTGTTTTTTATCATTTGGCACGAAGGCGAATGTTAGGAGTGTCGGGTGCTGCAGTGCAGCAGGTCAACTGCAGAAATGGCAAGCCGCTCAGAGTTTTTAGAGGAGGCAGCGACAGTATCGTTTCAGTCTACTGTGTGGGATCGTTTTGGATTAAGTGCTAGATATGACTACGACGGCGGTAAGAAAGTGGTGGAAAAACTGCCACAGTTTGCAAGCACTGTGCAACACGTGTTGCTTATGCTAATGGTACACTTCCAATATGTTAGCTCATCTGCGGAGACATCACCCCAGTGTGTCAACTGACAGCGAAAGAGAAAGTCGTGTAGGAAGGAACAACTTCTACCACCCGAAGCATTTAAATATCACCATAAAAATCTACAGCTTGAAGTTATTTTTCTTCTTTTAAAGACCCACTCCGATGAAAATAATGTTTTTCTAGGTGTTAACATGTTCTTGTGGCATTTTTCTGATGTTAGAGGACATATCTTGAGAAAAATCAGTTCAAAGTTGTATTTCTGAGTATTTCTACATTCAAATGGCTGTGAATCAGTAGCAGACGCTAAAATGCCGGCTAAAATAGACTGGAGTTGTGACGTAGTAACTCCACTGGGCGTCTCCACACGCGACGTCTTGGAGTGAAATAATGATCGGTGATCGGTGATAACTTTGATTAACTTCGGATAATAATAATTAACGTGTATATAATACTGTTGCCCCACCGGTATTGGGGATGTAAGCTAGCGGGAGAGACAGAGCTCTCAGCAACGGGGAGGGGGAGGGTCGTCTCCGTGCCAACGGCTCCGCCCACAACGCAGAGGCGAATTGCTAATGAGCTACTGCCGCTCTGCTGAAGCGAAGTCCCAGAAAACGGCACAGGTTTTGTGATTTTGGCTAAAAATGGCATAATCATAATTTAAAGACCACTGGGAATGTTTAAAAATAGCTAAAAATATGATCGAGTGGGACTTTAAAGATTAATTTTTTTAGAGCCACCATAAAGTTACTGTAACAACACTGTAATAAATGTAGGCACTGACAGTGACAAGAAAGCCTATTCTTTAAATTTGTCAATAAGTGTTTTTGTTCACAGCTACAATTTGTTTAAGGCCAACAGTTGTAAACTTTTTTGCAAATAAATGAAAAGCCTGTTGAAATTAACAACATCTCCCCTCTTGCTGTATCTAATAGCCGATTTAATTTATGATTGTCTATTCCTAAGATCAAGCTGCCTCATTCTTTCAGTTTTTTGATTACATGACCTTGAGAACTTATTTTTTAAATACTGCAAATGGTAGATTATAAGGCTATATATTTTATGCTCATGTATGGTATTTCTAAAGTGTTAAAAAAGAAAAAAAACATTAACAACGTATACTGAATCTAACCGGAAACCGTGACCACAGAGCCGTGATACAACCGAGGATTTTGTGACCCGTTCCACCCCTACTATGCATAGGAAATAGGGATACATGATAAATTGGAATAAAATGAAATTGCAATATGGCTTAGTGCGGTTATCAAATCGCCAAGGCTTTGATTTAATTAAGTATATGTGCTGCATATTTCAGAGTGAATCCTGGCAGTGTTCTTTGTTCAGATTTATTTTTAAAAAAATGTTCGCCAAATTGTGCAGTTCAACTAAGCACAGCAAACCGGGAGTTTTATTTATTTTATGTTTATCATAAACAAAATTTCGATATTTTTTCTTGCATCGTGCACTTCTACAAGAAATCAGTATAAAAATAATATAATTATTATAATTACAATATTTATATTTGATGTTTAAAATTTTACCCAGTTTAATGATGCATGATTAATCAGAATAAAATGGAAATTGCAATATCGCTTAGTGCGATTATCAATTATTATTGTCAAGGCTGTGATTGATTTAAATAATAAATATATGCGCTGCATGTTTCGGAGTGAATTGCTGCACTTTTATAATAATAAAGAACATTTTAATTTGCAATCACAAAAGCGTAATTAGAATTGTGTAGGTCTAGAAGAAATCACTATCAAAAACATTATAATTATTATTCAATTATTCCATTAAAAATTCCAAATTTTCCAAGATTCAAAAAGTTCAGAGAAGTTATTTTTCTTTATTAGGCACTCGTACAGACTTGTTTGGTTTGTATAGTATGTATGTAAATCACACTGATCTTTTTTTCTCTTTTTTTTCAGATACCACATGGATCCTTCTGGGACTTTTGTCCAGTGTGATGCCAGGGCTATTGGCTCAGCATCTGAAGGTGCTCAGAGCTCTCTGCAGGAGGTTTACCACAAGGTTTGTTTACCCACTCTCTCCTCTTCATCTCCATTTACTTTTTAGGGTTTTATGGTGAAATAGTAATCTGATGGCTCAGTTTTAATGCTCAAGTTGAATGCACAGCTCAACATCCCTTGAGCCTGCACAAACTTTCAAAAGTAGCATTATTTTTGTATCTGAACATCTTAGTGATTTGTCTGAAGTCTAATTTGATATTGAGTAAATATTGAATAAAAAAAAACCAAATCGCGCAAGCCAAGCAACCATTTTTGCTTCATAAGTTGTGTAATTTAATTCTAAAGGCAAATATAGGCAATTTGGGATCAACTAACTTGTAACATATATTATATTATATAGTTATGTTCTTTTATATAATGGAAAATCATCTCCATGTGTATATAACAACATTCTAAGCTCTAACTTAGCCATCTGATCCCTAATGCCACAGCCAGGTTATATCAAGATGATATTCTCACAGAGAAAAGTGTTTCCTACAGCAGCAAATTGAGCCACGTGCTCAGGAAATCAGAGTCCCTTTTTAAATCCACCCCACCCATCTTCCCATTCCAGTATGTCATGCCTCTACTAGTGTAACTTTAGTCACAAGACTCACCCATGTGACCCTGCAATCTAATAAGCAGCGGCCAGTGTCCAAAAGACTTCTTCATAAATCGAATTGCTTTGGGGAAAAAATAATCACACTATACTTGTCGCTTCTGTTCCCCAGTAAACATTCATAAAATATCTCTTTATTTTTTTCAGTCCATGACGTTAAAGGATGCCATCAAGTCTTCTCTCACTATTCTGAAACAAGTGATGGAGGAGAAACTCAATGCCACTAACATTGAGGTAATGCACAAGCACTTCACCTCACATGGTGTCGGTCATGTGAAATATCATTTAATTTAAAAGTATTTGAAGGTCTGACAATTTCCTTTTCTCTGCCTGCAGCTTGCCACAGTAGAGCCCGGCAAGACCTTTCACATGTACACAAAAGAAGAGCTTGAGGATGTCATCAAGGATATCTAGAGCTGTGCTAAGCCCGACTGATGTTCAATACAACAAAAAATTCTGTGTGAATCAACACACAGCAATTGCATACGTAATACTCTGGCTGCATCCTACGGTTTGCCTGTTCAGACAGGAATTGAGTTTTTACTTTTTTTCTTCTTATGTCAATCCCAAAATTTCTATAGTTCTGTACAAGCACAGGACAGCAGATCTTGTAGTTGAATTAAATGGGGGGTTCTTTTTGTTACCAATCACTGCGATAATAAACTTGTTGAAAAACTGAGGAGTTTGGTTTCTTCTTTTATGAGTCATTTATTGGCTAATAACGAAAAAAAAGGAAATATCAGTTTGTACAGCAGTTTGATTGCATGCAAAAGTCTAAAGAAGGATAATAATGTTTTTATTATTATATACTTTTGGTGTGTGTGAATATAATGCTCATTTTTATCATTTAATATAATACCATGCATTTGAAGTGGTATATACAATTGTTTTTTGTGAAACTCAATTGTTATTGTTAAATTTGTTTCTATAAAATAAATCTATATAAAAAAATGAATTACTCTTTGTACAGTTAACATGGTCAATGTCACAAATTTGTTCATTTTATCAGTGGCCTTAATCATTTTCCAAAAGTTCTTTGTTAAAAAAATGTAGAAACAATAATTTGTTTATTTGTTAATATAGTACAGTAACATTCTATAAATTACATTTATTCGATACAAGTTACAATAATACAGTAATTATATAGTACTATATAGTAATAATAAAAGTAATTATTTAATAAAAATGTGTTAGCCAGTTTCTGTAATATCAAATATGTTTAGTAGTCTTTACCATAATATCAATGCAATAAAAATGTAATGACATTCAAATAAAACTTTTCACAGCACACCAAGACAGGCAAATAAGTCAAACACATGGTAGTTTTGTTGTCATTTTAAATCGGAAGGAAGACAGTCTGGTGCCACACAATTTGTAAGATAGGTTGGTCAGCAGAAGGCGTGGTTAACCCAGTTCTGCTTGTCTCTTAATATTCATGAACCATGCCTCCGCCATTGGTCAATTGTCGAGTAATGTCGATATTTTCTTATTAATATTAACGTTAAGCCTTTGCGTTTGGAATGTTAACGCGTGCAAACCATTGGGTGCAAACCTATGGCCATTGAAAGGGTTACCAGTAAACGTCAGCGCGTCTGAATTAATATTCATGAGAATGGGCGTGTCGAACGGACAGCCCATCCTAATCTTGAACAATCCGTGAGTTAGTTTAGCAGTGCGAACAGCGGCTTCACTACAGACATGAGTCAGAGTGTAAACACTTCACGTTCTCTTCTATTACCAATAAACCGGCTATTCATGGAAATTTAGACGGAAGAATTTTGTGCACATTAAACGGAAACCATGAGCACCGTGTTCTGCTGTGTTTTGGTTGTGTTAGTCTCAGTGGCTCTTTGCATGGACTTTGAAGAGAGACCCAGACGCTTTAGCAGTGAGCAACTCATGTTTCAAAAGAGTCACAAATCACGAAATTTGCTCAGTTTGGGAGATTTACATCAGCCGGATCATGTCAGGATGAAAAGGAGTGAAGAATCCGCACAAAATCAATGTGAATCAATGCACGGCTTTGATTCTACGTTAAAAAACAACACTCATACGGTAGGTCAAAACATCTCTTACTCTTTATACTCTCATCACAGCTCAGAAATTCAAAATAGGCATAATCTAATATATATTATATACTAGTATAGATTGAAAAGCTTTGTGCATATAATTTGAATGTAAAATGTTCTTTGGAATTCCCCCCACCCCCTGTTTTGACTAGTTAACACTTGTTTAAGGTAGTATCTTTTTTTCTTTTTTGAGAGTAAAATTGAGTTTTTTCCTCCTATTTTGGAAGCTCTTTCTAAATTTCTAGGAACCATAAATCACAAAAGTGAGATCATACTACTGGCCTCTTGTCTGAGATTACCTAACATTGTACCTACATCACCTTTCTCAGCAACTGAATGTTATTTTTTCAGTCGTTTTTCAAAAGCTTTCACGTCTCTACTGGAATTACTTTAATATTTAAGAAGTGTTTAGAAGTCTATGAAAACAAGCTCTCAAATAAAATGATGTTTGTGAATTTTCCAGATGGTTGATAAAAACATCCCTCAGCATGTAGTATCACCTTATAATTCGATGGGCCATTGTTTGATGTTCCTTTAAAACATTCCACAGATTTCATCTTTATGCCAAGAGAACAAATGCATTCACTTCTTGATGTGCTTCTAATGTCTCTGCGATCTGTTTCTCCTGTATTTATGTACAGAAGGGTCAGGTGACTCTGCTTAACTAGATCTAGTCAGAGTTCATTCATTACAGTGGCCCATGACTGATTACTAACCCTTAAGAAGTCAGAAAACAAGCTGCCTCCCTATATATCTCTCTTATCTAACTCTCTCCCACGAGCTCATCAATTACGTTTTACCAGCAGTTGGCGTGACCTCTCGCCGGGCAGGCTTTATCGGTAAACGATGAGCTACATATATGCCAATCTATATCTTCTATATCAGTCCTGTTCTGTGGGAAGCATCCTTTATTTATCCAAATACAGAGCACATTGACAAATTTCAGGGAAAGCTAAGGCAATAGGTCATGAGTTTAGCCTAAGTGCTGATAGAGAAAGACTGTTGTTGTTAAGAAAGAATACAGAGCCAGTTTAAAAAAAAACTAAATTTATGGCCAGTATTTTTGGCTCTCATCCTCTCACATTCCGTCCAGCATAAATGAGTGTTGAAGTGAAATGCTTCCTCCAAGAAAGGAATGTTTCTGAAACGGGAAAAGGCTTGAGGCATGACAACAGTGGGAAAAGTATTTCAAGGCAACGTCTCTCTAAAGCATCTCCTTGTTAAATTCAGTTTCAGACCTTTTAACACCTGTTTGGATAGTTTTGAACATCAACTTGCATGCATACATGCACTGTAGTGTTCCTGCCAACAGTACATGCCTATTTTGACCCCTTCATTATGATTCAAATATTTATATATGGCCACTCTTGAGGTGGGGATTTAATAACATGTACATCCAAACCGCTCAACAGTGCTATTTTAACAACATAACATTTATAAAACTTGGTTTGATTCAAATGCTTGCTAGACTTTTGAATCCCACTATTTATATTAGAAGAACACAAAAATGAAAATAATGTTTTGGTAATTCAATTTGAATTATTTGGGTAAATTGGTATGCAGTTCAGGTTGTCATGTTCTCATGTGATAAATAAAACTGAAGTTCTTCGGTAATGAGTCGCCTCTCGATATTTCAGCTGAACAAATTTTCCATATTTCTACTGTAGCATCATTTTTGGTCAATTGGTAATACGTCTACACAGTGTTGACGTGTTTTCTTGTTTTAGCTTATCTAAATTGTGTGCACAAAATAATAGATGCTGAAACTGTCAAAACGTGTCATTGGAAAATATTCGCCTGACGAAATATCGACCGCCGACCATATCATTGAAAATTGATTCAGCTTAATATTTATGGTTGCTGAAATTTTGATGCAAGTTTACTTTTTATAAGTCTCTATATTATTCTGGTCTCTAGATATGGCTTTTTCCCCCTGTTTCTATGTTTCTGCATAGAAAAGTAATAGCAGGCTTCTTTGCAAAAAGCTGCACGATTTAAGGTGTCATTCATGGCGCGCAGCAGGATAAGTTATGTGCTTAAGTTTTATACTTGCCATGGAAATGTTTTGTAAATTCCAACTTATTGTGTCCAATGACATCCAACAAAATTTCAACACTGCAATGAACACTAGCTATTTACCCAGTGATTTACTGATAGTTTATAGATAAAATATAATTAGCTATCAGTGAAGCATCGAGTTTATGATCTAAAAAGCAATCATTTGGAGGCTTGCAGTGCTAAGTTTGAAGCATAATATTCCAGATCTGTTCCAGTCCAAAATGTGCAACCATGGTGTTGCGCAAGAGCCTGTGGTCAGTCGACGTGAAAACTGGCTGCTGACCGATGGAATTTATGACCTGCCAGAGCAATTAGAAATTTTACGAGCTCACAATAAAGTCTTTTTAACAACTGCCTGTAGTTTCTTCTAATGAAGTCTGCGTGAACTTATAACGGTACACGTGTTCAAACAGCTTTGTGGGTGAAGTTTGCGTTTGAATGATTTGAGATGCTCTTTTGGAGGCTGGAAGACTTTTTAAGACTCCGCTCTGGATGTTTAAATCCAAGTTGTGCCAGTAGGGAGTTATTTATGTGAGTCCAATGAAAACACAAACACTGCTTCATCTAACGAACTGCTGACCTCTTACCCATTTCAGCGTGCCGTTCCAGTTAGGAAAACATGGTTAAAGATCTCGATTCCAGGATTTTTTTGTGCATGCTTTTGAATCACGTGTTAGCATTCGCCCACCTGTCTAAATAGCACTTATTTTGAGACTGACTTGAGACGTGTCTCATATTAAACCCAAATTATTATTTTTATTTTTTTACTGTCTAGAAATGAAGTCATGTTTGTTGTTGGTCCTCAGACTGTGAAGCCATTTGGACCAAGTCTAAAGCTTCTTTTGGCTGGACATGGGGTTCAAAGACTGTTTACCAGTTCAACACAAGGGAAAGACGTCCAGGTTTTTCCCTTTCCTGGTCCTGGGGAGAATGTACAGAGAAAACATTTTCTGTCCTCTCTGAAATGCTCGGGGTTGGTGAGATGCCAGAAAAGCAGCCCGAACAATGTTCCTCGTGGTTCTAACATGTCCACTGGAGAGGACGTGTTGAGCTGAGACTAGAGCTGGAAAAGAGTAGGAGTGTATACTGAAGTATACATTTCTCCCATTGTACAGTATATTGCAGATATTTATTTTGTAAAAGCCTATCTGCCGTGTCTGAATGTTATTCTTTTGGAGGATTTCAAGGGCCCCATGGCCCCACGCTCAGGTGGCCTCTCCAAGCCTTAACACAGCAGACATGCTTTAATATTATTCGGCTCTCCTCCCCGCAGGATGGATTTTCTCTGCAAATATCCCCATCGGTTGATTGTATCACTCAACTTTGTGAAAACAGACCTTAGTAATCCACCATTGACCTGTGACCATTTTGCAAGCCTTTTAATGGTGGTAGGGATTCAAGGAGTCTGATTCCTGGCCAGGATTACCACACAACCATTTAGGATTGTGTACCATACCATTGCCTTAGACCAGACACATACTCACATACACACAAACACAAATGCTAATTCTTGCAAGTGTGCAATATGAATTATTGTGTTACTGTGGCAGTTACTAAGGAATTCTAATATACCTAAACAAGCTCACAGTTAGCACTGTGTTCTCAATTTTTTTCTTTCTGGTAACACCCCTTTTAAAACACAACTTTTGCATCCCTGCATATCTTGTACATCATTGGAGTACTGTTAGGCCCTGTTTACACCTGATATTAAGATGCGTTTTGGTTGATCGGAATATGATCACAAGTGGAGGATGCTAAATACAGGTGTAAACGGGGTCTAAAATGTTTTGACATTTACATTTATTCAATTAGCAGATGCTTTTATCCAAAGCGACATACAAAAGAGAACAATAGAAGCAGTTTAACTATACAATAGAACAACAATATGAAAGTGTTATGACCCTTCCCAGTTTAATCTACCCCATTTACACCTGTATTAAGCGTCCTCCACTTGTGATCTGATTCCTGATAGTCACTAGACTAGACCAATAACATTGGTCTAGTGGCTATCAGAGCAGAAATGAAAGCTGGTGTTTTTCCGTCGTCTCTGGGCACGTTTATATGGAAATTGCGCAAGCATTGTCCATTAGATTGAAATATCTGGGGGAAAAAAACATACATTTACCCGCCCATAGACCCTCCCATTGAAGAAATCAGGACAGAAGTGGTTGAAAAGAAACGGATTAAAACACCAGGTGTAAACGGGTATGTGTCTGCCTCATCTACTTGTGATCTGATTGTCCAAAACACAATCCGTGATTCTATGATACACTAACCAACAATCTATGAAGCATTTCATCACCAAAGTGTGGACTCACAAGTTGAACCATAATTGTATTTGACTGAATTCAGGACAGAGCCATAGAGTTTGTTTAGGGCCTTACTTTGAGTCGTGTTCTTTGGTCTTCTCCAAACTGAAGGATCGTTGTATGCTCACAATGTCTGGAGGGACACTCCCCATTTAAGAAGGCTTGTTGGCGTGGTGCAGGGCCATTCTTGGCAAGCCTGTTTTGTTGGCCAGTACTTGGGATGTCAGCATGTTTCTTTCCTTCTGGTTTAAATATGGCAAGGAATGGAGAGGCAACCACTGTATGCATTATTCAAAGACACATTATTGAGAAGGAACACTGGTCCTGGAGTTTAAGCAGGTGTTTTAAGACATCTTGTTCTTGCTGTTCTAGAACACATGTACCATTCAGGGTCTGTTTTGAGGTGGGTTGCATCAGAAGGACGTTGGCCGGGTTGGGAACATGGAAACTTTTGTTCACACTTTGGATTGTGAGAGTGCATATTTCCATTAGGCCTGAACGCTAGCGAGTTTCAAAAATGCTTTGGTTCTTTTGCTTCCCTGGACCTTGTACGGCTGCTTTTTTAAGAGAAAAGAAAATATGTAAAAATTGTAAGATGATGTCATCAGTGAGGAGAAGTGAGAAACGGATTATTGACATGATCATTGATCTCCAGGGGCTTGGGTGGAATTGCAGAAATGCAGAGAGGATGTGATCCGTAGAAAGGAGTGCGGCGTAAAGGGCCTCCTTAGTCAAAAATGTCCATATGGACCGTAAAATAGTACATGATATACTCAAAATGGATCTGAATGTGTGTGGATGGGGTTTCGTCATTATACCAGGAGTTTTTACTTTATCCAGTTATGGTTTGTCAGTGGTTTTGTGCCAAAACGTAATGCATAGGCAGCATTTTAAGACATCATAGACCAATTTTACACTTTACCTTTTTAAAATTACACATCAATTGCACTCAGTTTTGACTCCATTCCATGGTTGATTGGCCTTATGATGGTTTGTAACTTTAAGGTTATTTTATTGTATATTTTATTTTATTTTTACTTCGTCTGGTGTCTGTCCTGTTTGATGTTTTATAACAAATTTTATTTTATTTTTCTATATTTTACTTTTGTATTTTAATTTACACCGGTTTACTATTTTATTTTATGTTTTGGATTATTTTATTTTTTATTTTATTTCATCTGGTTGTACCTGTCCTGTTTAATGGTTTTTAACAGGTTTTAGTGTATTATTACATTTATTTCACTTTTATTGCATTTTATTTTATTTTTATTATTGCAGCACTTTTGCATAAATAAATTGCATTTTTATTTTCATTATCTTGATACTCATATTGAAACTATTGAAATAAAAATGTTAATGCTTAATGTTTAGCATATTTTGCATGTAACCCTGTTACCACATTATTTTATCCCATTTAAAAAAAAAAAAAAAAAAAAAACACCCAGGAATGTTTGGCTCCAAAACCTAGTGACCTGCCTATATAGGCACCATTTTAACACACCGTGAATACTCCTGACACAAAGTCTGTTCCAAATGTTAACAACATTACTTTGTCAAATTCTATGAAATAATAAAAAAAATCTATTTCTAAAAAGTAATCCCAGAATGCATTGCTAAAGCCAAACCCTATCGAAATCAATTGAATCGAGTTTCGTGCATTTCACATAAAGATTTGTGGAATTGCTGTCAATCCAGAGCATCCAAATCGGTCCCTTATGAGGTTCCATATCGGAGGCAAATGCCTATGTAGCAAGGAGCCAGGCAGCTCACTAGCTTTTGGAACAGAGCCTGTGTATGTGTGCTTGGATTTTCTTTATTCGTTTCCCTCCTTTTCTCTCCCACAATCTCTTTGACATCAGTTGCTCTCTTGTTCTCAGTGTGTGAGGCAGATGAAAATGTGGGGCACTCACTCTGTTCCTCACGCATGCACACACACACACACATACACACACACCATCTGGGTCTTGCATTCCAGTGAGTGAAACTGAAAGGGAGGTTACACACTCGACTGACAGCGGGCCTGTCCTCTTAAATGTGCACACACACACACACACATTCCCTAGCAGTGTGGGTCGGCTGACAGCGGCACAGCCATCTGTCGAATCAGCAGTGTTTTCTGTGTGCATGTCGCTACATGGTTCCGCTTCCCTGTGGACAGATAAATCCCAGCACTTGTGTTTTTCTTCCAAGAATCACCTGGACTTTTCGAATTAATCACCGGAAATATGTTTGCTTAGTTGTCTTTTATTAGACATTGCCATTTATTAGGCATTACTAACATAAATGTAATACAATTTTATTTTGTTATTTATTTATCTGATTGGTGATCGGTTTAACTTAGATTAGTGTCTCAGTTGTTTGTTTATGTAGTGATATAGCCTAGAGAACCGCTTTTCAGATTTTTCTCTCAATGAAAAGACACTACGACTCTCATGTATCCCGTTTATGTTTTAAAAGAAACATCAACAGATATAACTCTAATTATTTCTCTCTAAATTATCTGAACAATGAATCTACATGAATTTTTATAGCTCTTTACTTTTACTTTACGCAACAATTGTAACAAATGTCTTTTTGTGTCTGATTTTGTCTCCAAATAAATATTTAGTAGCTTGTAAAACTGTCAAATCAAAACATTAATACATTTGCAAATAAAATGTGCTTATAAAATGTTGTTTGTTCACTTTGTCATATTTAATACAGCAATACAATTTCCACTTCCACGCACTTTTTTGCTCATATTAGCTTTTTTGTTTTATTTGTGTGACCACTTTCTGCTCTGTACTGGATGTGTCTTTATTTTTAGCTATGTAAAGCTGTGGTTTGGACGGAGTGTGGTTTTTAGTCGTTATTTTTGTTTTAATTTAGAGAGAGAGAGAGAGAGAGAGAGAGAGACCCAAATGTTGTGATCCTAATGAAAATGACCTGTTTTGTTTCATTTTAGATTGAATTTAGTTTAAGTTATGATGAATATTATCACAGAGAAAAAGTTCATGTCAGCGGTACAGGGATTATTAGTATCATCAATCTACAATGTTTATTTGAATTCGTACTTCATTTATGTCTCTACGTCTCTTTTCCAGTATAACTTCAACGACCTGAGTGGCTCGGTGTCTCTGGCCTGGGTTGGAGACGATACAGGGGTGAGTTGAATTTTGACTAATTATCTACATAAGAATACAGTATCATGAAAAATATCTAGTTTTAAATTTAAATGCATCGTTACTATAAAATATGGGATTTTTGTCTGTCCACATCAACTGTATCCTACAATGAAAGGTGAATTTAATGAATTGATATTGATATTGAATTGATATCCGATGATGTTTCTTGTAATTAGGTCAATCTGTGGCCTAACTAAAGTCATTTACTATCCTCGTAATAAACCCACCACAACATAGCAGCCGTGTTTTTAATGCACCACTAACAACAAAATGTGTGAACAGCATCACACCATTTGACAAAAAAAATTTCAAATTGGGCTTGAGAAACGGCCACCATAATATTACTGACTTGCTGATGTCCTATACAAATTTAATCTGTTCATTCTCTTTGGGATTTGAACCAACAACCTTTGATTTATCCCAATCCTTCTAATCCACTATGTTACTGCCACTATGTTTACTAACCAGTAGCCGATCAAAAAATTTTGCAATTGTCAGTTTAACCCAAGATTTTAATGCACTAAGCTGTTCTGTGGTCGGCTCCATGATCTGAATCGCAGGAATGTGGCTCCTACAATCGCACATCAATGTGAAACTAGAACGAGTGAAATACAGCTTCAGCGGCTGAAAGACTCTTCAGAGCCTGGCTTGACAAGACCTCAAACTGTCATTTAGGGCCAACAACACTGGAGGCGGAATCCGTCTCTTATAGAACTGAACCAAAGTGCAGCTGTAAAACATGTAAAAGCTGCAATTACTCCTCCAGCACAGCCTTCACCCAACAACAACACTCCAATACTTTTCTGTTAACTGTCTGCAAACATTTTCAAAGAGTGGCGTCTTTTGAGACACCTTTTCTACTTTTGAGGTGTCATAGTTAGCACCATACTGGTAATTGCTTATTGCACCTTTAACAAATATTGTTCTAATTGTCCAGCTTTTTTCAGGCACATAAAGAAGTTCCCACAAGTCTTTCTTTTGTAAGAAGAACATAAATAGAAATGGACCCTATTTACTTTTTTTAAATATGGGTTTTCATGAAGGGTTCGTTCTGTGTTTTCAATAACTTTGTTTATCTTTTCATTGTAGAAAGCATATGATTGGACAAAAATCTGTGTGTAGTGCAGGATGAGTCATTTAATATTTTTGGTCCAATTTTCCTGAAGAGACTTAAAGACTACCTAATTACTTTCTATTAAGTTAAATGAAACATAAAAATTATATATATACAGGTCCTTCTCAAAAAATTAGCATATTGTGATAAAGTTCATTATTTTCCATAATGTAATGATAAAAATTAAACTTTCATATATTTTAGATTCATTGCACACCAACTGAAATATTTCAGGTCTTTTATTGTTTTAATACTGATGATTTTGGCATACAGCTCATGAAAACCCAAAATTCCTGTCTAAAAAAATTAGCATATTTCATCCAACCAATAAAAGAAGTGTTTTTAATACCAAAAAAAAAGTAAACCTTCAAATAATTATGTTCAGTTATGCACTCAATAGTCAATACTTGGTCGGGAATCCTTTTGCAGAAATGACTGCTTCAATGCGGCGTGGCATGGAGGCAATCAGCCTGTGGCACTGCTGAGGTGTTATGGAGGCCCAGGATGCTTCGATAGCGGCCTTAAGCTCATCCAGAGTGTTGGGTCTTGCGTCTCTCAACTTTCTCTTCACAATATCCCACAGATTCTCTATGGGGTTCAGGTCAGGAGAGTTGGCAGGCCAATTGAGCACAGTAATACCATGGTCAGTAAACCATTTACCAGTGGTTTTGGCACTGTGAGCAGGTGCCAAGTCGTGCTGAAAAATGAAATCTTCATCTCCATAAAGCTTTTCAGCAGATGTAAGCATGAAGTGCTCCAAAATCTCCTGATAGCTAGCTGCATTGACCCTGCCCTTGATAAAACACAGTGCACCAACACCAGCAGCTGACATGGCACCCCAGACCATCACTGACTGTGGGTACTTGACACTGGACTTCAGGCATTTTGGCATTTCCTTCTCCCCAGTCTTCCTCCAGACTCTGGCACCTTGATTTCCGAATGACATGCAAAACTGAGCAACAGTCCAGTGCTGCTTCTCTGTAGCCCAGGTCAGGCGCTTCTGCCGCTGTTTCTGGTTCAAAAGTGGCTTGACCTGGGGAATGCCGCACCTGTAGCCCATTTCCTGCACACGCCTGTGCACGGTGGCTCTGGATGTTTCTACTCCAGACTCAGTCCACTGCTTCCGCAGGTCCCCCAAGGTCTGGAATTGGTCCTTCTCCACAATCTTCCTCAGGGTCCGGTCACCTCTTCTCGTTGTGCAGCGTTTTTTGCCACACTTTTTCCTTCCCACAGACTTCCCACTGAGGTGCCTTGATACAGCACTCTGGGAACAGCCTATTTGTTCAGAAATTTCTTTCTGTCTTACCCTCTTGTTTGAGGGTGTCAATGATGGCCTTCTGGACAACAGTCAGGTCGGCAGTCTTACCCATGATTGCGGTTTTGAGTAATGAAACAGGCTGGGAGTTTTTAAAAGCCTCAGGAATCTTTTGCAGGTGTTTAGAGTTAATTAGTTGATTCAGATGATTAGGTTAATAGCTCGTTTAGAGACCCTTTTCATGATATGCTAATTTTTTGAGACAGGAATTTTGGGTTTTCATGAGCTGTATGCCAAAATCATCAGTATTAAAACAATAAAAGACCTGAAATATTTCAGTTGGTGTGCAATGAATCTAAAATATATGAAAGTTTAATTTTTATCATTACATTATGGAAAATAATGAACTTTATCACAATATGCTAATTTTTTGAGAAGGACCTGTATGTATATATATATACACTCACCGGCCACTTTATTAGGTACACCTGTCCAACTGCTCGTTAACACTTAATTTCTAAGCAGCCAATCACATGGCGGCAACTCAGTGCATTTAGGCATGTAGACATGGTCAAGACAATCTCCTGCAGTTCAAACCGAGCATCAGTATGGGGAAGAAAGTTGATTTGAGTGACTTTGAACGTGGCATGATTGTTGGTGCCAGAAGGGCTGGTCTGAGTATTTCAGAAACTGCTAATCTACTGGGATTTTCACGCACAACCATCTCTAGGGTTTACAGAGAATGGTCCGAAAAAGAAAAAACATCCAGTGAGCGGCAGTTCTGTGGGCGGAAATGCCTTGTTGATGCCAGAGGTCAGAGGAGAATGGCCAGACTGGTTCGAGCTGATAGAAGGGCAACAGTGACTGAAATAACCACTCGTTACAACCGAGGTATGCAGCAAAGCATTTGTGAAGCCACAACACGCACAACCTTGAGGCGGATGGGCTACAACAGCAGAAGACTCCACCGGGTACCACTCATCTCCACTACAAATAGGGAAAAGAGGCTACAATTTGCAAGAGCTCACCAAAATTGAACAGTTGAAGACTGGAAAAATGTTGCCTGGTCTGATGAGTCTCGATTTCTGTTGAGACATTCAGATGTTAGAGTCAGAATTTGGCGTAAACAGAATGAGAACATGGAACCATCATGCCTTGTTACCACTGTGCAGGCTGGTGGTGGTGGTGTAATGGTGTGGGGGATGTTTTCCTGGCACACTTTAGGCCCCTTAGTGCCAATTGGGCATCGTTTAAATGCCACGGCCTACCTGAGCATTGTTTCTGACCATGTCCATCCCTTTATGGCCACCATGTACCCATCCTCTGATGGCTACTTCCACCATGTCACAAAGCTCTAATCATTTCAAATTGGTTTCTTGAACATGACAATGAGTTCACTGTACTAAAATGGCCTCCACAGTCACCAGATCTCAACCCAATAGAGCATCTTTGGGATGTGGTGGAACGGGAGATTCGCATCATGGATGTGCAGCCGACAAATCTGCGGCAACTGTGTGATGCCATCATGTCAATATGGACCAAACTCCCTGAGGAATGCTTCCAGCACCTTGTTGAATCTATGCCACGAAGAATTGAGGCAGTTCTGAAGGCAAAAGGGGGTCCAACCCGTTACTAGCATGGGGTACCTAATAAAGTGGCCGGTGAGTGTATATATATATATATATATATATATATATATATATATATATATATATATATATATATTAAAAAAGACAAGTAATTTAAGAGGCAGAGTAATTTATAATATTAGAATGAAAAATTAAAAAGAAAAAAAAAACACTTTTGATGAACCATTTATATTAAATAAATATCAAAAGCACATTTTTGTGACTTTTAGTTCATGACTTAGTTTTCAGGGTGTATATATATATATATATATATATATACATATATAAAGCCAACAGGCATGAACTAAAAGTCACAAAACTTTGCTTTTGATGGGTTATTTAATATAAACGGTTCATAATTTTTTTTGTCTTTTTAATCTTTCATTGAAATATTATAAAGTACTCTGCCTCTGAAATTACTTTCCTTTTTAGCTAATATCACCTAGACTGTATGGACTATTAGTGAATGTTAATGATTGATTTATTCTCTGGAAATGTGTCACATTATGAAAGTAAAATGGATTGCAAATACCATTTCATGTTGACTTAAGGATTAGAGACAGGAGTTAAATGAGAACAAGGCACCGACCAATCAGAATCTTCTCTGCAAGCAGCAAGTGCCTGGTCTTGAGTGATAGCTGGATGAATTAAGTGTGAAGGGTGAGATTGTGGCTGTTCTCAAGTCCAGGCATGTGTCCCGCAGTATCCCGGCCGAGTTTAGATCATGCTTCACTGCACTGCGAGTCTTTCACATCCACATCCTATAGCATTCACTGTGTCCCTCTTCTGTGCAGGTGCTACTGGTGCTCACCACGTTCCAGGTTCCTCTTTTTATCATGCGGTTTGGTCAGTCCAGACTGTACAGAAGGTAAGGGTGCCTTTTAGGACAGTGTCCAAGCTCTTGCTAGAAGAATTGAGTTTTTAAGTCAAGACACAATAGGTGAATAGGGTAATATATATATATATATATATATATATATATATATATATACAGTGCCCTCCTCAATTATTGGCACCCCTGTTTAAGATGTGGTCGAGGACTTCTAAAAATTCTCCTTTTTTTTAAACAACATATAGAACCCAAATGCAAAAAAAGAGAAAAATCCAAACTTTTATTCAAGTATATTACTTTGGTGGTAAAAAAAAAAAATCACACATTTAGAAAAAAAAAAAACTTGAAATCATGTGTCGGCACCCCTGATGTTAATAGTTTGTACAACCCCCTTTTGCCAACAAGACAGCACTTAATCTCCTCCTATAACATTTCACAAGATTGGAGAACACAGAGAGAGGGATCTTTGACCATTCTTCTTTGCACAATCTTTCTAGATCATCCAGTGTCCTGGGTCCTCTCTTATGCACTCTCCTCTTTAGCTCGCCCCACAGGTTTTCGATTGGGTTGAGGTCTGGGGACTGAGATGGCCATGGGTTGACCTTGACCTTGAGTTTGTGACTGCTGAACCATTTTTATGTAGATTTTGCCACATGTTTTGGATCATTATCCTGCTGAAAGATCCAATGACGACCCATCTTCAGCTTTCTGGCAGAGCCCATCAGGTTTTTATTTAAAATGTCCTGGTAGTTCAAAGCTTTCATAATGCCATGCACCCTAACAAGGTTCCCAGGGCCTTTGGAAGAGAAACAGGCCCACAGCATCACAGATCCTCCACCATACTTCACGGTGGGCATGAGGTGCTTTTCGGCATACTCATCTTTTGTTTTACGACAGACCCACTTAGAGTGTTTGTTGCCAAAAAGCTCAATCTTAGTCTCATCTGACCAAAGCACACGATCCCAGTTGAAGTCCCAGTGACGCTTAGCAAACTCCAGACATTTACGTTTGTGAGTGTTAGTGAGAAAAGGCTTTTTCCTTCCATGCCTCCCAAACAGCTTGTTGGCATGTCTGATGGTTGTTTTGGAGACTTTGTGACCCCAAGATGCCACTCTTTGATGCAATTCTGTGACAGTGAGCTTAGGACTTTTTTTTACTTCTCTTACCATCCTCCTCACTGTGCGTTGTGGCAACGTAGGGCTGCAACTAACGATTATTTTGATAATCGATTAATCGGACGATTATTTTTTTCGATTAATCGATTAATCTGATAAAAAAATTCAATTTGCTTTTTTTGTTTATTGACTAAATAAAACCCGGTTACACTTTATTTTAAGGTGTCCTTGTTACAGTGTAATTATATATTTAAGTACAGAGTAATATTAAGGAACTACATGTACTAACTATAGGAATAGGGTATGATTAGGATTTGGTTGAGGGTTATTTGCATTTAATTATGCATAATTTACTGTTATTACTACAGTAAGTACATGTAACATATGTAACAAGGACACCGTAAAATAAAGTGTTACCTAAAACCCTAAATTAGGATATTTATGTGTAAAAGTGTACTTTAAAAAGTGCAAAAGCCACACATTGAGTTTTAGTATTATCAATATTTGCATTGTTTTTAATGATAATTGCTGATGGCAAGTTGACAACCATGATTAATGTAAAAAAAAAAACATTTATATCCAACATATTGTTTTAACACAATTTTTGTTACAACAAATTTACACAGACATGTTGTTCAGATGTGAAGATATAAACTAAAAACATCTAAAATATATAATTCATTTAATTTTTCTTTAAAATTAATTGAATTATAAGGATACATTGATAAAATAAATATAGAAAGACTGAAAACAAGCGTGTGAACGTAGAGCTGCAGTAGATCGCGTTTGAAAAACAATTAAAACTTAATAGACAAATGCTATAAATAGAGAACGGAATGGAAGTACGCAGCAAGTTAACAGGCTTGATTAAAAAGACAGGAAAAATGATGCAGTAGTGCACAAGCATTCGCTGAAAACCACTGAGTACAGTGACTAAAACAATCTTTTACTGCTGCTGTTATTAACTGCCTTTATATTTAGTGCTTTGCTTTGTAAAGACCGTTTTAATTTAACCTATTTCTGCGGTAGCACTATTTTAATCCATCACTTATGTTGCGAGCGAACTGATTGCGCAACCTGATGCTCGAGACAAAATACAGACATCCCAAGTCTCCCGGAAGTTCTGGGAGTCACCCGCACATTGATAGCGGCTTATGCGGCTCCCTGATGCCCGCAAATTAGTTCAAACTCCCGGGATTTGAGCGCGCATCCGAGACAGAAGAGACTGTGCTCCAAACCGTGTAGCGCGCGCGTGCGGCAGAGCAGCGGAGGGAGAGAGGCCTTGCGTGTATGCGTATGTGCCTCATGAAGCGCGTGTAAGACAGAGAGCATCCTGATTGGCCTGTTTCAACCAATCACCAGTAAACCCTCCCCGTGACGTAAGCAGACCAACTAATCGATAATGACATTCGTTGACAACGATTTTCATAATCGATTATTATCTATTTTATCGATTAGTTGTTGCAGCCCTAGTGGCAAGATAAACTTGGGACCTCTTCCAGCCTTGTTTGTCACTGTTCCAGTTGTTTTAAACTTCTTAATGATTCCTCTGACTGTAGATACAGGCAAGTTAAGGCGAGTGGCTATTTTCTTGTAGCCATTGCCTGACTTATGAAGGTCGACACACATCTGCCTTACTTAAATGGTGTGTTCTCCTGTCTTTGCCATGTTGACAAATGGGTAAGAGAATTAGGCCTCTGTGTCACGTCATATTTATACCCAGGGAAACAGGAAGTCATGAATTACTAATTAAAAGTTCCTAGATACCCTGACCAACTTTAGCAACTACAGAAAAATATATTTAAAAAAAAAAAACAATTCAATTTTTCAGCGGAATTGTAAGGGGTGCCAATAATTGTGGGACACGTGATTTCAAGTTTTTTTTTTTTTTTTAATGTGTGATTTTTTTTTTTTACCACCAGAGTAATAGCCTATACTTGAATAAAAGTTTGCATTTTTCTCTTTTTTTGCATTTGGGTTCTATGTTGTTTTTAAAAAAAGGAGAATTTTTAGAAGTCCTCGACCACATCTTAAACAGGGGTGCCAATAATTGTGGAGGGCACTGTATATTCACCATACTTCCCTAATTGATTGATTACTTTAGGTATTGCAAAAAAAAAAAACATTACACGTTTTTCACTAGTCTGAAACGGCACGTTATGAAAGGTCAAATAGCCCAAAATCTAAAGATTTGTCTTTGTGTCTCAAAATTATCTTGCCTTAACGGGATTAATAGAGTGCAAATAATTCCAGTGTTGAGTTTGCTCAATATAAATGTTGGTACACAACACATTTGGTTGTTTTTTTGTTTAGCTATATCACATGATCCATAACTCCCTCTTATCTCTTCTGGGTCAGTGAAGACTATGGAAAGACATTCCAGGACATCACCGACCTCATTAACAACACCTTCATACAGACAGAGTTTGGCATCGCAATCGGTCCTGAAAATTCTGGGAAGGTGAATATTTACTTCTCTGCTGTAACATTGAACTGTTCTGAAAGGAATATTACTGGTTATTTTCAATGTAATGTCCATAGACACTGTGGTGTGCTGTGAAATCTTGACATGTGTACAAGCAAACAAGTTCATACAGGTGGAAAGTTGTGCCACCTCAAAAGGATGAGGTTTAGTAACAAACATACGCTACCATTCAAAAGTTTTGGGTCTTTAAAAAAAATAAATGTTTTAATGAAATGCTTTTTTAAATGCTTTTATTCAGCAACAATTGCAGTAAAGATATTTACAATGTAAAAAAAAAAAAAGAATTATATTTCAAATAAATGCTGTTCTTTTAAACTTTTTATTCATCAATGTACCACAGTTTCCACATAAATATTAAACATTACAACTACAATTTTCAACATTGATAATAGTATGAAATATTTCTTGAGGACCAAATCAACATATTTGAATGATTTCTGAAGGATCATGTGACACTGAAGACTGCAGTAATTCAGCTTTTCCATCACAGGAATAAATTGCATTTTAAAATATATTTAAATAGAAAACAGCTATTTTGAATTATAATAATATTTCACATTTATGCTGTTTTTACCGTGTTTTTGGTTTTAAATGTTTCTCTTTTCATTATAAGTGTATTTATTGAGCTAATTTACAAATACATTGAAATGGTCATCTCTGATAGACATGTACGATTAAAACGTTAACATTAATTACTGAACAGGGTCATGATCTGTCCCACAGGTGATCCTCACAGGCGATCTAACCGAGGGGAGAGTCACCAAAATCTTCCGTTCAGTTGATTTCGGCAACAGCTTTGTGACCTCTGAGCTTCCCTTCCATCCATTAATGCAGATCACATACAACCCCAGAGACAGCAACATACTCATGGTCTACAGCATCAGTGTAAGACCTCTGATTAGACATTTCCTTTCGGTTTTGTGCAAAAGAACACGTACTAACGCTGTTTTCTTCTTGATTCAGTATGACTTATGGCTGTCCGAGGACTTCGGGGGCAGTTGGAGGAAGATCCATGAGACTGTTTGTCTTGTGAAATGGTATGACTGTAAACAAGAAGAACATAAATTAATCAGTAACAATAGTCCATTGTCCCAATGTCTGGGCCATATTGCAGCTCATTCTGGCCCACCATTTGAAGGACCAAAGTTTGCTTCTATGTGATATTTAGTGCCAGGTCAATATGAAATTTGATATAACTCTGGGTGATAATGTTTGGTTTGTTTAGCTGCTACCAGGTGTCTCAAAATAAACTCCAAGATTATATATCTCCAAGATTTAATGTCACGAACCCTGCAGCCTGAGTACTTGTAAATACAACTTTGCTTCCATTTGATGAAAAGCTGTGCATCGATCCTGACTGCCATAAATAGTAGCTAAACAGTCATGTTAGAGCACACAGCTTTGAGAGAGATTTTTGTTCTCCATTATGATTGGTCATTGTGTGTCCAAGTGCTGGAAAGGTTCTGATGTAACAATTTGATGTGGTTTCGCTGCCTAGAGCTAATATAGATTTAATTGTTTTAATAACAGTTCTTTTCTCTTGATTGTCAAGGCCAAGGGAAGCAAAATCTATTGCGATTACATTTTTGTAATGTGTGCATTGGTTTGAGGTTAGGATTCTCACACAAAAACATATTTCATTCTGTCTGTTTATCTTTGTATCAGATTAGAGCTTTTTTCATGGAACATATGGTCCAGAATTATTTACTTTTTCAGTCAAAAACAAAATCCCTTAGGCAGAATGTTTGAGGTTTTGTTTTCATTACCCAAAGCACCATAAAATGCATTATAAAGCAATTTTCATTTTGCATGAACTATTCCTTTGAGGTTTACAATCCTAACCCTCATAAATATGGTCCTGGTCTCAATGGATTTTTTTACACTGAAGAAACTGAGGCCTTTGGTTAGATTTGAAGTAGCAGTGCTTTATAGGAATACCCTTAGCTTTTGCTTGCAGTAGTGAATTCGGCATGGATGGATGGAAATTTCTGATTGGAACTGTTTGCTTATTTCAGGGGAATTGATGACACCATTTTCTTAACTACAAATCCCAATGGATCCTGCAGTGAGTGACTTTGTTATGGCCCCATCATTTGAATAATGCTGCAAATGGATAGATGCTTCCCGCTTATTGTTTCTCTTTAAGTCATATTTTTGAATCTCTCTCTCTCTCTCTCTCTCTCTCTCTCTCTCTCTCTCTCTCTCTCTCTCTCTCTCTCTCTCTCTCTCTCTCTCTCTCTCTCTCTCTCTCTCTCTCTCTCTCTCTCTCTTTCTCTCTCTCTCTCTCTCTCTCTCTCTCTCTCTCTCTCTCTCTCTCTCTTAGGTGACCGGGGAACCTTGGAATTGAGAAAATCATTAGACTATGGCAGGACATTTAAAACTATTGGAAGCAGGATTTATTCCTTCGGCTTGGGTGGACGCTTTGTTTTTGCCTCAGTCATGACTGACTCGGTGAGCTCTCTTAAAATCTTAAAGGGGTCATATAATGCCATTTTTGTACAAGCTAGTATGATTCTTTAGGGTCTAAATTAAAAGTTTGTAATATACTTTAATTAAAAATTATCATTAGTATTGTAAGAAAACACTTATTTTACCTGGTCAAAAACAGCTCTGTTTTCAGCACGCTGTTTCAGTGCATATGACTTTAAATGATAATGAGCTTTGCTGACTCCGCCTCTCTGTTCTGTGTGTGTGTACACCGTTTGTAACACAATAACCATAACGCGTTGTTCAGTATAAACGTGGGATTATGAATTATATTGAGAACATCATACATAGAAAACATGCCGTAATGTACCCTGAGTGTAAACCTTAGACGCATTCATTGTGAAGTGTGCAGCTAGCGATTTGCAAAGATTAATATAAATATTAATATAAAGTTTAATAAAACGTTACACTCACTTCCGTTCTTCTGGAGATTCAGCAGGAACACGAATAGCTGGTACCGATCCTTTTTTCATGAGCAGCTTCTTAGCAAATCCAGCTTTATACTGATCCTCGTTTATAAAGCAGTCTGGTGAGAAATGATTCGCGCAAACATGAACGCATTGACGTTGCTCGTGGGGAATATTCCCTTCGAAAACAAACTCAGCCACTGCGTCTTCAGCGGTTCGGATTTAGGAACATTAAAATGACTGCTGTGTTCCTTATTACACCCAAGAACAGAACACCACAGTCGCTTAGACGCCATTCTGCTCATAGACAGCTCCAGCATATCAACAATGACCGCGCCGGTCCGCGCAGACTATGATTGACAGCTGGCTCACGAGCGAGGGCGGGTCTGTGTTGAAACGATGCTGTCAATCAACAATCGTGGGAGGGGCGTGCGAGCTTGTGACGTCACAAAATCGAACGCCTCAATTTGAGGCAGGGGAAAACATACCCCTTTAAATAAGTGATGTCATGTATAATTCTGTTACAGAATCTTGTGTGCTGCCCACTTAGATAACATTTTTAGATATCAAAAATGCTTCCTTTTGATCAAAATCACCACATATACACTACAGTTCAAAGGTTTGGGTCTGGTAAGATCTTATGTTTCTAAAGGAAGTCTCTTATGCTCACCAAGGCGGCATTTATTTGATCAAAAATACAGTAAAATCAGTAATATTGTGAAATAATATTACAATTTAATATACCTGTTTTCTATTTTAATATATTTTGAAATGTCTATGTAGGCAGTATATAGCAAGGCATCTGATTCGATTTTTGACCAGAGCTGTTGTGTGTTGTGTGAGGTTGAAATCACGTACAGATGTAAAAAAAAAAAAACATCTTTTCTTTTGCAGGGTTCCACACGCATGATTCATGTCTCAGTAGATCAGGGGGAGACGTGGGACATGGCTCAACTTCCCACCGTTGGCCACGAACAGTTCTACTCCATTCTAGCCGCAAACAATGATATGGTCTTCATGCACGTAGATGAACCTGGAGGTGAAGCAAATTATTATTGTTCAGCAAAATAAACCTCTTAAATAATAATGTTGCTATGCAATATCAATTTATGGAACATGTTCCTTAGACTTGAAGTTTGGATTGTGTTATTTAAGTATTGTTTATATGCTATTATAGTATTTATTAATATTTTGAATTAGATTTTATTTTTATATTTTCAACACTGGTTTAGATTTTGAATTTGTTTTGAAGTACAACCTTAAAAATGCTAAAATATTTAAAAAAGAGATTACCAATATTACATTAATTTTCAGTGCTGCGTGCATAATTTCATATATTCCAGTTATCAGCATTGCAAATCTAGTAAAGTTTTTCATATTTTCATGTAAAAAAAAGTTAATACACATTTATAGCACTAAATGACAAAAAAGGAATTAACGGTGTTTCTAATACAACGGCTGAGGGAGTGACGGTTAAATTTCACATCTTTCTCTCCTCTACTTGCTGTAATCGATGTCTCTATATTTTTTTGCTCTTTTGGAAAGTCCTATTCGAGCAAATGCAAATACTAAAATGATATTTGCTGTCATCTCCCATTCACCACTATAAAAGTTTACCCATGACAACTTTTTTGAGAACCCTGGAAATCTAAAAAGGGTCCATTATTTGAATGTGTGATTTTGTAACCATGCCATCAGAACTACTAACAATTGTTTTTTTACTCCATCAGACTCAGGTGTTGGTACCATATATGTATCTGATGACCGAGGTACAGTGTTTTCCAAGTCTCTGGAACGCCATTTGTATACCACTACGGGCGGAGACACTGACTTCACCAACATCACCTCTCTGAGGGGCGTATATTTGACCAGTGTGCTCGCAGTGGGTAAGGCTGTGACTGTAACCATAAATCATTTATTTATATAAATCTCATATTTGCTGATGTGTATTTTTCTTCTTCAGATGGCTCTGTACAGACAGTGATCACATTCAATCAAGGTGGAGGGTGGCGACCTCTGCAGAAGCCCTGGAACGGAGTGTGTGACTCCACAACCGAGCACCCAGACAAAGTGAGAGGCACACATGAACAGCACAACCACAATCAGATCTTTAGACACAGATTAGACATAAATCATGGAGAACATGTAGAGTGGTCAAGTAGAGCCAGTAAACTGGTTTCTGGTTTGCAGTATTATTAAGCAATCATAATTATGTCCTTGAGCCAGACAGTTACTCCAGGGACATTTGCATTGTAATATGTTCATCATGTCGCTGTTAAAGTCACCAAAAAAGTCTTGGTCATGTGCCGATAAATGCAGACTGGCGTATTGCATTTGTTTTGTGTTAACATTAAGGACAAAAGCACGTAACTAGCAAAAATTTGGTCTGTCTGACTATAAAAGGATAGATTAACAAGATAACACATGTCCAGCGTTAGTTGCATCAGTCATTATTATTGTTGTTAAGGTCAAGACCTTAAATAGTGCATTTCTAAGAGCTTTCTCTGAGCTGAAACACACTTGGAATTGTGAAACCGCAATAATTTAAGCTTGTTTAAAGTTGCCTCTTCTAATGATTTTAACTTAATATTCAAATCATGCAAAACTTTGGTTCGAGAATAAGCATTCAAATTGCAGTGTGTGTGATTTCGTGTTAATATCATATGTCATATCATATGTCTCTGTCTTCTGCAGTGTAGTCTGCATATTCACGCATCCTACAGCATCTCTATGAAACTGAACGTGCCCTTGCAGCCCCTCTCAGAGCCCAATGCAGTGGGACTCATCCTGGCACATGGTGAATACTGCCCACATTCACCAACACATGTCTTTCCACAAGGCAGAGCTATCACTGACTCACATTCAGTCTAAACCTTTTGTATAACCATTTTCACCAGCCTCAGCTAATAAGAGTTTAATTTTATTTTATTTTGCTTTGGCCACTGGCTTGTACAACAACAACAAAAAAACACTGTGATTCTAGTACACCTAATCACCCAAACCCCATCATGTTTAATTTCTCCAATCGCAGAACTAAAGTAAATAAGTAATAATTAATTATACATGTATTTTATTATTATTTTACTGTTTTAACTTGGTCATTTTAAAGGACCATTACACTGTCACGCTGCATTTCTCTGACTCGCGTCTCCTTTCCATCTGTTCTTTCATCAGGGAGTGTGGGAGGCGCAGTTTCTGTGCTTTCTCCAGACGTGTACGTGTCGGATGACGGGGGTTACACATGGTTTCAGGCATTAAAAGGCCCCCATCACTACGCCATACTGGATTCAGGAGGACTCCTGGTAGCGGTGGAGCACAACCCCTCACACCCCATATCACAGATCAAGTGAGCTTTCTGTATGTTTATAGTGATTTGATCTCAGTATGTGAGATAAATGATTCAAAGGGAATATTATAACAAATTAAACACTGGTGATGCCCTGTTTATTTAAGTGGTTTTGTCTGGAAAATTGTTTATAATGTAATTGATTAAAATCAAATAAATGCAGCCTTGGTGAGCAGAAGAGACTTCTTTCAAAAATATTCATAAAAACCTTACCAATCCCAAACTTTTGAACGGCAGTGTTTTATTATTCTTTTCATTTTTTTCACTAGATTTTCCACTGATGAAGGTCAGTGTTGGCATGTGTATAATTTCACAAGTGACCCAATATACTTCACTGGCTTGGCATCAGAACCCGGTGCCCGCTCCATGAACGTCAGCCTGTGGGGCTACAGAGAAACCGTCCGGACTCAGTACTGGGTTTCAGTCACTGTCGACTTCAGGCTGTTGCTCTCTAGAGACTGTGAGTTGCCTAATATTTCTAAAAAGCATTTTATAAACTACTATACAAATATACAGAATCCCATCTTTTACCAGTATGATGCATACTTCTGTTAGCATTCAGAAGATCTTAAAATGTTATGTTCTTAAAACCAAATACTCCCTGCAGGCCAGGATAATGACTACATTGAGTGGCTCGCTCACTCCAGCAATAATAGCGACCCCACTGACGGATGCATACTGGGATACAAGGAAAGGTTCTTACGTTTGAGAAAGGACTCGGTCTGTTGGAACGGCCGGGATTACATGGTGACCAAGGAGCCCACAACATGTTCCTGCACCCTAACTGACTTTCAGTGGTACAAACACATACAAACTTATCAAATACACTCAAAGTACAATGTGAGTCATTTACACTATTCATGACTTACATTCAGTCTGTGATTCCAATCCTTGTTGTTCTTTTCCTGCAGTGACTTTGGGTTCTACCATGCGGAAAACAGCTCTGTGTGTGTGGAGCAGCCTGACCTTATTGGCCATTCATTGGAGTTCTGCCTGCACGGGCGCAAAGAGCAGCTTCAGACCAGCGGGTAACAAATCACCCTCTATTTCCAAATTCACTGGAATTGTATTGAAGTGTTCAGCGGGTGTAAGCTTTTGCTAATGTGCGAGCCTGATTGACTGAACTGATTCGCATTTTCATTTTTGCATATCAGTGAATGTTTTTTGTCAAAGCAGTGTAAGTAAAAACATATCCCAAGTGTTTACTATCTTTGACTGTAGTTATCGGAAAATTCCCGGGGACCACTGTGAAGGAGGAATAATTCCAGAACGAAAAGAGATCGATCTGAGTAAGAAGTGCGTCAGTAACTTGCTGAGGTCAGAGCTACCGGTAGGTTTTTATTTTATTAACAGAATGCGCATTATACCTACATGTACATATGCAAGTATATGTAGTTTGAAAGAAGTCTCGAATTAGTTTATTAACAAGTACTCTACTCAACAAGTAGTTTGTTGAGGGCTGGGGTTTTTTAGGGAAGGACTACATGTCTGCGCACATATATTCAAACGCGCATACCTATAGAATGAACTCTTAATACGCATGTGCACGCCATCAGCGTTCTCACAGGTTCGCGTTTTTAAAGTTTGCGTAGAGAGAACTTAAGAGTTTTCTGTTAAAACGGTGTCGTGTTAGCGGCCCCTAAGTTAATAAGTAGTGATCGTTGTGACGGAAGTGAATCAATCAAAACTAACTTTAACTGGAAAATAACTTTATTCTAGAGCTGTCATAAAGCCAAAACAATCTGTTACTTTAATTTCCTATCATCACTGTAAAGCAGCTTTGGAACAATCTACAATGTTAAAAACGCTATATAAATGAAGATGACTTGACTTGACTCAAATTTGTTTGCATTTGTTTGATCAGAAATATAGTAAAAACATATTTGTGTGTTTTTTAAAAATAATTGTTTCTTTATTTTAATGTTATTATTATTATTATGTAATTTATTCCTGTGGTGCAAAGATGAATTTTCATTACTTCAATCTTCAGTGTCACATCATCCTTTTGAAATAATTTTAATATGCTGATTTGCTGCTCAAGAAACATTTATTATTATCAATGTTGAAAACAGTTGTGATGCTTAATATTTTTGTGTGAAGCTGTGTGATTCTTCTTGATTTCTTCCAATATTGTAGTGAAATAGAATATAATTAAATAGAAAAAAATGTGTGTGTGTGTATATATATATATATATATAAATAAACAATGAAACTGAATTTTGTTAAGCTTGTTTGAAAAATATTTTCCCATTTCTCAATACTTTCCCATTATGCATTTCTCAGACAGAGGAACATTCATTCAATTCAGCTCCTATAATCGCTGTGGTCATCGCTGTTCTAATTATCAGTGCCGTTGCTGGGGTTATTTTCATCAAAAAATATGTCTGTGGAGGAAGGTTTGTGCCCCCATTTCCCTAAACATCACACACAGCAGAACATTTTTTTTTTTTACTTTTTAAATTCTTAATTTTAAGTCAATTTTAATTTATATTATATTATATTTATATTATTATTAAATGAATGTTGTATCGTGCAGTACATATGAGCAAAGTCTTTAATATTTGGTTCATATATGCAGTATCTGTGTCACAGCCCCTTTTTGATGTCTTCGGTAGGTTCCTGGTGCACAGGTATTCTGTATTACAGCAGCACGCTGAAGCTAACGGTATCGATGGTGTGGACGACCTGGACACACTGGAGGTTGGCAAGACGCACTATCATGATGATTCAGATGAGGTACATACTTCACCTTGCTGCTAAAGACACAATATTTCATTTCAACAAAGTCATTGAATTAATCCTGTCATTCTATTTTTGACATCTGCAGGACCTTCTAGAGTGACAGACACATGGATCATCACAAAACTGTATCAAATTAAGAGAAAAACCACAATGCCTACCCTTCCCATGACCCTCCATGTGTGTGTATCTGCGTTCCAGCACCTATCGGATAATGACACACATTCTGCCTAATCAATTTGTTTTTGGCTAGTTGGGGACAAATATTCAGCGTTCAGAGCAGCAAGATTTGACTACAAGGACAGGAACAGAGAAAACATGCATTTTCCCAAAAGCTTCTCCCAATGGAGCTTTCTGATCCATTGCTGAAAGAGAAAGGATTTGATGTGATTATGTTGCCATATATTTCAAATTTTGACACATTTGAGTTGACACACATACAACAGACTTATGTAAGTGCTTATTGTTTCATTGCTGGTTTCCTGCATCAGGTATTTAACTTCACCAAAGGATTTTCAGCTTTGTTCTTTATTTTGTGTATTTGAAGTCTCCTTGAAGAAGTCTGTTTTTTTTTTATCCAGTGTAAAAATAGAAGTATCTTCGGAAAATAGCCTGCTCTCTATTTCCAGAGTTATTATGTGAGCAAATTCAGATGAAAGTGTTTAAAGGTGATATTTAGACCATAGATGAACATCGAGACTTGTTTTTTAGACTTCATTATACTAACACCCTGGAGATTACAGTTTGGATCTTTGAGAAACTAGTTTAGCCAAACTTTAGTCATTCTATAAATCAAATCTCACTTTGCCATCTATCTGGTTCCCTGCCATTGCTGTGTGCTTAGATATACTTTGCACATTGCATATCTTCTATGCACGAATAATTATAAATTCTTTCGTTTTAGTGTTACCAATGCTATTCTCTGTTTGGTACAGTGTCATCTGATGCAAGAAAAGATTTGAGAAACGGCACATTGCGTGGTTTTTAATCATCTTAATATATACATACTTAATACAAGTGTCATAGAGAAACAATAAGTGCATTAAACATAATAGTCTGATTACTTGTTGCTAATTCAGAAATAGTTATATATTCAATAACCAGACAAAATCTATGACATAAAAAAAAAAATCAGAACAGTAACTCATCCTTCATTGGGAGTTCGACAATATTAACTGCATCTAATTAGCAGCCTAATCAAATATGAAAATGTATATTTTTGGACTTTATTGACTGTCAACTCATAAATAAGCTAATTTGTAGTCAGTAAGCTGATTAAGTTTTTTTTTTTGCACAGGTAATAAAAAATAGATACCTCAGGGGTTGTAGATGACAGTGGACCACGCATTTCATTGATGGGTTTGCATGTCCTCAAGTTTGAGATGAATATGGCTTTTCTTAAGTCAAAGTGTAAAATGCTGTACCATTAAATGTGACTGCCAAGAACAATAAAAATACATCTTTTTTGAAGTCCACTCTTATTGACTTGAACCAAATGGGTTAATTGACCCTGATGCACCAAGGTGAACTGAATTCACAAAGACTTTAAAATGTTTTGTGTCTTTTTTATTAAAACAGCTTTTTTTTTCTTGTACAAGGGTACATAAACATCCTTAAAGTTGGATATTGTACAGCCTGTGACTAATGTTTCCTACTTTGCATTGTACTGAGAAACATACATGGTCAATAAACAGCAGTTGGCTAATGTCATTCAGCACAGCATTTGTATTTTCATTTGTGTAAATAGAACGAAAATTGCATATATTTCATGTGCAGAATAAAATCTGATTGTAAACAGATGTGCATTTTTTTATTTTCTTCTAAGTTTAAAAAATAAGAACATCACATGAAAAATATTTAACATTAACAAAACACTACAATTCCGTGATATTTTTCCTATTTATTTTATGTAAGTATTTATTAAAACAACCTAAAGACTTGAAACAGAATGATTATTGAGAAATGCGTAACATTAGCATATGAAAGTTTGCTACAGTGTAAATAGCTAGGTTGAGTGTAATAGCGTTTTATAATGTCAGAGAGGAAAAGCAAAATGAAATCATGTATGAAAAAAACCCGTCATGTTGGACTAAAGTTGATCAGGTTAGCTAGCTTTTTTCTAATGGATCATTCAATCAATTTAGAAATGTATTCAAATGATAATCTAATAAAATAAATATCAATATAGTCGTGAATTCACTTATTTTTTGTATTCATTCATTTCTTTATTTAACACTTGTTTTTATGTAGGCTAATTTTATGTTTATTTTACATACTAGCTGTATTCTTACATATTTGTATTTATTTTATGTATTCATTTGTCATTTCTAAATGACAGTTCTTTCGCACAGCTCTTCAACTGTCAGATATGCAGGGGTTGAGAGTGGGCGTGGTCTTCGTCTTGTAGGAGGGGCGTTTGAGCTTCATCGCGGTTTTTTGCCTTGTGCGCCATTTTGGCTCCTGAGCGAGACGCGTCGTGTGATTGGGCTCCAGGCGCCGCTATCGGAGCCAATCAGAGGTGCATCGGGCAGCGGCGAGGACGGTGAGTGAGCGCGGCTGCTGGGAGGGGACGGGACTCGGTCGGTTAGCTGGGGATTGGTGTGTGACGGACCAACCAAATGACTAAAATCATTATAAACAGGAATAGTGTGGATTGTGTATGTCAAGGTCCACTCAGTGGACGGCATGCACGTGTATGTCTCTAATTATGTGGTTAAAACGATAAACAATTTCGAGATATGGTTGAATTTTGTTGTTTTTCCGTTAAGCAACGCTGGCGTCTCATATAGGCCCAGTTTTAGGCCAGTCTTTGTTGTATATTTTCCTGACTTTCGCAGGGTCTAAAATGTCTATTGGAGCCAGTATGTTGATGTATTGGTTTTAATCAACCAAAAGAGGGTTATAAGTCTTAGTAGTTGTTTGTCTTTAAAAATTGGTTTGCTAAAAAAAAACACGCTAGTGCATGAGAACACGGAGATCGATGTGCTAACGCATCCCCAGCAATGTTAGAGAAAGATTTAGTATTTTTATTAACACCATACACACGGCCATATTGAGTAGTTTTATTTAAAATGTGCTGTTTAAAGGAGAAAGAGTTTCGTTTGTGAGAAACATGCATGTTGCAACACAACAAAAGCGTCAGTGATGATACAAAGACCCGACGGGTGAAACTGAAGAATAGCAGATACATTTAATGGTAATATAGAAACTAACACCGAAACCCAAACACTGTGTTTTTCTTTGTACTTTTAGTAATAGAAAACAATGTTCTCGTCGTTTCCTATATTTTATTTATATGCTGTAGTAAATCTACAAGCAAGGTCAACAACAATATGCTTGTAATGTCATTCAGCATAGCATTTATATTTCAATCATGTAAATAGGATAATATTTGCATATATTTCATGTGCAGAATAAAATCTGATTATATATTTGCTTCTCAGTTTAAAAAGTATGAAGACATTAATATCAAATTGAAAAATATGACAAATGTTTTTCATTAAGAGAAAACTGTCCCATTCCTTACAGTTTTTTAAGCATCCATAAACTTCAGGACACAAAGCAAAACGAAATGATATTGAGAGATAAATATCACACTAATAATCACAACAACAAAGGTTATTACAGAAAATTATAATATCTAGGTTTTCTTGTTTTTTTTTTATGCATGTTTCATGCTTCTCAGGGAGAGGGAGTTAGAATAACCATAAAAGTGATTTTATCTTAAAGATTTTTTTTTTTAAATGTACTTAGTGTGTTTGTACCATGATACAGTTGTGGTATGACTTTGATATACACCTTGATGTTATTGGTGTACCATTTATATTTATATGGTACTCCAAAGTACTTAAAAGAAAACCATTGTGCTACAAGTCTAAAATTAAAATATTTTCAGTAATCTGCAGTTAAATACGTCCAGTAAACTATACCTGCATATAAATGTAGGATCTGCTCACTAATATCATAAACAGAGATAATAATTTAAAGAGCTGACTAAAATGATGTATGTTGTAAACCAGCAATGTAGTTAAGCATTATCTTTTAAGCTTCTTTCATTAGATGCATGTGCTGTTGCATAAGAGATCAGATTAATGCAACAACATGTTGTTGCTTTTTTTTCAGACTTAAGTTCTATTTTGATCTCATCTCTCATAACCCGCAGAAGTCAGACGGCAAACATGGAGCAGTACACCACCACCACGACAGCTAGTGGAGAGCAGATAGTGGTGCAGACCAACAGTGGACAGATCCAACAACAGGTAATGTGTGAAACTTACAGACAGTATCTGATAATGATGTACTCTATGGAAGTCTGTACTTCGAAATGCATCAAAAAGACTAGTGTAGCAATAATGCATATCAGTGTGGTATAAAACCATAGAAGGAAAGTTTTTGTGTGTGTTTTTACTAATATGCGAGTCACGTTAGTCAGTATGTAGTATGGTGACAGTCCCTTATCTCTGGCCCAGGGCACAGTGACTGCGGTGCAGTTGCAGACTGAGCCTCAGGTAGGCCAGACTGCAACCCAGCAGGTTCTTCAGGTAGTGGTTGGCTTTCTGAGCCCCTCTGCTGTCTCCAAATCCCCATGCATGCCATTTCAACTCGCATTGCCTCTGATCTGAGTCTGAGATCAGTTTGCCAGTATTGCATTGTAATAATGATGAATGCAATGTTAAGGTATCAGATATCTGTGACCTGTGTGCTTTTTGCATCTGTCTCAGTTTAAGTTTATCACTCACTATGATTTACAAGAATTTCAGTGCCCAAAGAACACCCACATGCATGAGTTTTTAGCATGCTTTGTTTTGCAAACTGCATTATAAAATGTACAGAGCAGCTGAACCACCAACGTTTTGCATTTCGGACATTCACATGCACTGCATTTTCTTGCATGCATCTGTGTTTTGCATTGCCTCAATGTATATCATAATGAAACCGCTTTTACAAACTGAAATATTTCATATTCGTATGCCTGTAATGTATGGAAGCCCATTGGTGCCACATAAGAAAAAAAATCCATGCTCTGGTAAGTCATAATTATGACATAAAAAGTCGTAATTATGATACACAACATATTTATGAGATGAGTAGTCAAAATTAGAACTTAAAAAGTAAAAATTATGTCATTATGACATAAAAAATTATGACATACTTAAGTCATAATTATGAGATTAAGAATTATGACTTAAAAACGTAAAAATTATTACAAAAGACAAGTCATCATTAATTTATGAGATAAAGTCAGTTATGACTTGAAAAGTGGAAATTATGACACTAAATCTAAATTTAAAAAATAAATTACCGGTATGATTTCAAAAGTTGAAATTATAAGATTAAAAAGGCAAAATTATGATTTAAAACGTAAAAATTATTAAAACATTTTTTTAATTATGACTTTTAAGTCATCATTTTTACTCTTTTTTTCCCTTATGAGTCAGAAATGGGCTTCCATAGGTAAATTATCTTAAAGGTGACATAAAACAAATGATTTATTTGGCATGCATCCTCTTCTAAGGTCCAAGGGCAGCCTCTTATGGTACAAGTCAGTGGGGGTCAGCTCATCACTTCCTCTGGGCAGCCCATAATGGTACAGGCCATGACAGGAGGACAAGGTCAAACCATCATGCAAGTACCAGTATCTGGTACACAGGGGCTGCAGCAGGTGGGTGGAGCTCATTTTACATGCAGTTTCTGGTTAAAAATGTACCATTTTTACCAACTTATTCAATTTCTCGAGTTATTTTAATACTTAACTAATATATAGCAGTGGTTCTCAACCAGTTAAATTGATTTAAAATAAGACGAAACAACAGAACATTTTAATTCAACTTTTGTCTTTGAAGAACCCGGATTCCCACAGTCTTGGAAAACCTGGATAAACGGGGAAGCCTTATTTTAACAGTGTGATTTCTAGACTTGGAAATACATGTAAATTAATCAAATTGTATAACTCTATGGGCATTTTTTTTTAAATAATTAATATACATTTATGATAAGCTCTAAAATATATACTTGTGAGTAAAGAATTTTAAAAAATCTTATCCAGTAAATAAGCAACAACTGGAAAAGTCATGCAGTCTAAGGCCCCGTCCACACTACTGCGTTTTCGTTTAAAAACGGAGACCTTTTGCTACGTTTGCACCTCCCGTCCACACTAAAACGGCAAAAACGGAGACCCAAAACGGGGAAGTTTAGAAACGCTGCCGACCCGTTTTTCGTTTTGAATCTCCGGAGGGCGTTTTAGTGTAGACGGGTCAAAACGGAGGACTTTAGAAACGTTGACGTAGAGGCTCACGCTCGGCTCTATGATTGGGTGTCATCAGTCATGGCGTATATCTTTGCTAGCCGCTGTTGTACAAGTAAATTCTGCATTTTACAACGCTATAACTGCCTACATGCGCCGGAGTCAAGCTATTATTCGAGTGATCTGTGACAATTCCCATGTGCAGCGGCGGCGTTGACCGTACGGAGCGTCGGTTTGTGGTTAACCCAGAGCATGGTGGGATAATTTTATCAATGAAGTTGTGTTTACACCGGGACGCGCATGCCCAGTGTTGGTGAATGGTCACGTGATCCACGTTTTCAGTCGTTTTAATGTGGACGGAGATCAATTCTAATACGCAGCTAAAACGCTGGTGTGGACGGAGATCGTATTCGTTTTAATTATCCGTTTCTAAACTAAAACGCAGTAGTGTGGATGGGGCCTAAGTCAAAAAGGTTGAGAGCCACAGCAGTATAGTGTTCCTTCAAGATATTGGGGATGTAATTGAAATTAAATGACTAAATTTGCCACAGATTCAGTTGGTACAACCCAGTCAGATCCAGCTTCCTGGTGGTCAGACTTTACAGCTACAGGGTCAGCAGGGACAGACACAACAAATCATCATTCAACAGCCACAAACGGCAGTCACTGCAGGACAGAACCAGGTATCCTACGATATATTCCAGGTTTGCTAACTTCATTTTGACACATATTTCAACAAACATAAAGGAGCACCTGCTAGAAGTATCTCTTGCAGTAAAAGACGCAAGTTCATGGTAAATAAACACTCATCCTTTGTATGTTCTCAGGGTCAGCAGCAGATCACTGTACAAGGTCAACAGGTGGCTCAAACCGCTGAAGGACAGACCATCGTTTACCAGCCTGTTAATGCGGATGGGACCATCCTGCAGCAGGGTAACACTGCTACTCCACTGCAAAACACTAACCCATAAACAACATGCACTTTTAAGCAGTTAAGAGTTAGGTTAAGCTAGTCATACTTTCAATAGACACTTCATACGATATGCATTTTTTTATTTTTCCATCCAGGAATGTTCACCATTCCAGCTTCATCTTTAGCAGGAGCTCAGTTAGTCTCAGCTGGATCCAACACAAACACCACTAACACCGGCCAGGGCACAGTGACGGTCACTCTTCCCATGGCGGGAAACATGGTCAATGCTGGAGGAATGGTCATGGTGAGTATTTCTGGGCACTTTTATTTATAACCGAAAGGGACTTCTTGCTATTACACAGATGATCTATTTAGGCCATATTTCCTAACATTTGTGTGCGTGTTTATAATCGAATCAGATGGTCCCAGGGGGTGGCGGGTCGGTTCCCACCATGCAGCGCATTCCTCTTCCTGGAGCAGAGATGCTGGAGGAGGAACCTCTGTACGTCAACGCTAAACAGTATCACCGGATTCTCAAAAGGAGACAAGCCCGTGCCAAACTAGAGGCTGAGGGCAAAATACCCAAAGAGAGAAGAGTATGTATAATTTTACTGCAATAACTAATGCTTTATCTGCAGTGATAAATATAATATATATGACATATTTAATTTAATTTCCATTCTGAAATGTGATTGACGGCATGTATGCGAATAATCCTGTACCTTGACCACCTCTTCAATATGTTTTCCCTTCCAGAAATACCTGCATGAGTCCCGTCATCGTCACGCCATGGCCAGGAAGCGTGGAGACGGTGGACGCTTCTTTTCTCCAAAGGAAAAAGAAGAAATGGCCATGCAGGCTCTTAAGGTGAGCGAGGGGCTTGAGCTCAGCTCTCATTGGCCAGCCACCTCTGCCCCGCCTCTGGGGTGACCTATCCAATCCCAGCCCGTGTCCCACACGAAAGACTGAACTCGCTGTATACACCTAATTTAACTTAGATCATCCATACGCTGCGGCTCTGTGCCTGAGCTACCTCATGCGTCTGTGACATATTCATGTCCGAACTGTCTCTGTCTGTGAGTTTATTGGCATTTCCAACTAGGTAAACTGAACATGCATACTAAGATCTTAGTATATATGTTCTAGTATATAGTTTGAGCAAATATAATGTACAGCTTATTCCCATGTTTGTAACTGCTGTGCTTCCTTGCAGCTTTTTAATTCCTTTAATAATTGTTAATTATTTAGCTGCGCATGTTAGTGTGCAGCCTAAAGATATTATGTTTGAGCTCTGCTAATTGGAAACGGCTTCTTTCAAAAAAGCATCAGCTGTAAACATGGAGGGATTAGCACATTTTACCCTGTCAATGTTAAAGGTTTCTTGTCTTAAATGTCTAACTGCTACTTTAAAGGGAAATCTTCAGCCTTGACATCTTTGTGTCTGCATTTCTGCCGTTTGTCCTTCCATGCTGTAAAAACTCACTGGATGCTAAGATGCATTAAGCTGTGTTTATTTGTCCTTTTTACCATCTTACTGGTATGAATAGTCATTCAAAATGATCTGTTTTCATGTGTGATGTATGGCTTGGCTTGCACCTTTCAATGCTCTTCTGTCTTTGCCCAAAGCTGTGGCTTTGTTATTGCTTTTGCCATTTTATGTTTCTTACAGCGGGCTGTATGTGGGCTCTTGTTTGCATTTACATTACTGTTATGTTTGTTACTTGATGATATATAAGATGCTCTTTTTATGCAAATAAACCATTGTTCTTGATTTCTACTTTGTTAGTAATATCTTGCGGGGTTTTTTTACATGCTGATAGACTTTTCCCCATGTCAAATATTCAATTTCTATTGTGCAAAGGGTTGCATATAAACAAATTCTTCAATATAAAATGTAATATAATTTTAGGCTCATTAGTTGATGAATAAATCTCAGATGGTTTGAAATGTATTTTAGAGTTGAGTCGATCACTAATATTTTGTACACTCACCTAAGGATTATTAGGAACACCATACTACTAATACTGTGTTTGACCCCCTTTCGCCTTCAGAACTGCCTTAATTCTACGTGGCATTGATTCAACAAGGTGCTGAAAGCATTCTTTAGAAATGTTGGCCCATATTGATAGGATAGCATCTTGCAGTTGATGGAGATTTGTGGGATGCACATCCAGGGCACGAAGCTCCCGTTCCACCACATCCCAAAGATGCTCTATTGGGTTGAGATCTGGTGACTGTGGGTGCCATTTTAACACAGTGAACTCATTGTCATGTTCAAGAAACCAATTTGAAATGATTCGAGCTTTGTGACATGGTGCATTATCCTGCTGGAAGTAGCCATCAGAGGATGGGTACATGGTGGCCATAAAGGGATGGACATGGTCAGAAACAATGCTCAGGTAGGCCGTGGCATTTGAACGATGCCCAATTGGCACTAAGGGGCCTAAAGTGTGCCAAGAAAACATCCCCCACACCATTACACCACCACCACCAGCCTGCACAGTGGTAACAAGGCATGATGGATCCATGTTCTCATTCTGTTTACACCAAATTCTGACTCTACCATCTGAATGTCTCAACAGAAATCGAGACTCATCAGACCAGGCAACATTGTTCAAATCTTCAACTGTCCAATTTTGGTGAGCTCTTGCAAATTGTAGCCTCTTTTTCCTATTTGTAGTGGAGATGAGTGGTACCCGGTGGAGTCTTCTGCTGTTGTAGCCCATCCGCCACAAGGTTGTGAGTGTTGTGGCTTCACAAATGCTTTGCTGCATACCTCGGTTGTAACGAGTGGTTATTTCAGTCAAAGTTGCTCTTCTATCAGCTTGAATCAGTCGGCCCATTCTCCTCTGACCTCTAGCATCAACAAGGCATTTTCGCCCACAGGACTGCCGCATACTGGATGTTTTTCCCTTTTCACACCATTCTTTGTAAACCCTAGAAATGGTTGTGCAGTGAAAATCCCAGTAACTGAGCAGATTGTGAAATACTCAGACCGGCCCGTCTGGTACCAACAACCATGCCACGCTCAAAATGGCTTAAATCACCTTTCTTTCCCATTCTGACATTCAGTTTGGAGTTCAGGAGATTGTCTTGACCAGGACCACACCCCTAAATGCATTGAAGCAACTGCCATGTGATTGGTTGATTAGATAATTGCATTAATGAGAAATTGAACAGGTGTTCCTAATAATCCTTTAGGTGACTGTATATCAGACAATTTGATCACTAGCAGAAAATTCTCATGGTTCAAACAGGTAAGAGTTCACTCAACACCAGTCAGCCCCTAATAGCACATCATATTGATGAAATTTTCATCATCTTCCTTTCTCCTCACAGAACTCTGAGCTGGATCAAGCTGAAGAGGACACAGTGGGCCAGATGATTCAAGTGGCATAAACTACCCTTTCCTCCACGGTTTAGTCAGTCCTTTATACTCGACAAAAAAAGGAGACCCTCTTCATTCCAACACATGTTTTTTTACTTCCCTGAAGCCCTGTTTATAGTATGCTTCATTTCTGTTCTCATATAGACTGAGGATTTTTTTTAGTTTTCCAATACTGCCAGGTAGAACATGAAGATATTGGGAATTTTTAGTTTTTAAACCATCTCACAAGGCTAAAAGATGTACAATGTGTGCTGTTCATGAGGAAAGACTTTTTTCATTTTAGGGTCAAATGTATTCATGATTTGTATAGGCATTTCATTCCACTCCATTTCTTTATTTAATCAAAAACTAACATGATCTGACATAAGAATCACAAAAATGTGAATTGCAGTTTAGTTTTGTTCTATGGGATGTGCCACTGGTTGCTTTTAAGTATACTGGATCAGACTGTGAAATGTTACGATTTTCTATGCACTTGCGCTTTTTAGTTGATCCGCCGACCGTTTGTACATCCACCCGCACTGAAACATCTCCCTTGAAAACCTTCAGTTATCTATTTGTATTTTCTACTTATGTCTTCCTTGTTTGAAAATAAAGGTTGACATTCTGTACATGGTTGCAAAAACTGCTTTTTAAACTTAAATGCAACATTTTAGACATCCAATGAAACACTGACATGTCAGACAATTTTTAGCATCTACACATTCTCTTGGTATGTGTCAAGCCATGTTTGTGTTTTCCTTTTCCAAGTAACAGACACCCGTTTGATTGCCTTTATTTATAGATCCATGATGCATCTGTACCCTGAGCTCTACTCTACTGTCTATGGCTCTACTGGACTCATCTTATTGGAGTTAAAGGGATAGTTCACTCAAAAAATAAAAAATCTGTCATCCTTTATTCTTTTAAGTTCCACAGAAGAAAAGCAGTCATTCAGGTTTAGAATGATATTAAGATGAGTACATTTACATTTTTTGGGTGAACTATTTCTTTAAGACCTCGAGAGAATTTTTAAATGTCATTTTGAACTGAAGAGCATTTTAAAATGGGAAGTGCATGGATCGGATCTCCCCAACACTAGGGTTTGCTAGAATGGAGCTAATCAGATTAAAATGACTATGGCAGATTGTTTACTCTTAAAGCTGAGTGCGTTATATAACTGAATCATCCCTTACTGTTATTTTGGAGCCCTGATATTAGCATATGAATAGTGAGCCATTTAATTGGATAGTTGAGAACAATTGGTTATATTTTCAAGTGAAAGGGCTTTTGCCTTGAGAATACTTCAAAGAACACACAATGTGTCCTCAATGAAATGCAAAACAGGTCATCAGAATACAAAATAGATGTTAATAGTCGTATGTTTAACCATAATCATAAACCAAAACGCAGGATTTCTCAACCCGCACCAGCTGCAAACATGTTTTATGGCACCTTTGGTAGGAAATTAAGAAATGACTTAATAAAACGAAAACATTGATGAAGTCTGTATAAAACACACAGGGTTAGTTAATCAGAAAATGAATATTCTGTCATCATTTTACTCACTCTCATGTCGTTCCCTACCAGTATGACTTTATTTCTTTCATGGAACATATAAGGTAATAAAAATGAAAAAAAGCTCCACAGAAGAAAGACAATCATGTGGAGTTTTAACAACATGACAGTGAATAAATGACAGAATTTTCATTATTGGGTGATCTGTCCCTTTAAAAAAAAAAACATTAATACATAAGCAACCTTCATGTATTTCCAAATATCTTTTTCTTCTCAGTCTTTGGCAGTGAGTTAACATTCATCCCGCTTAGCATTTGGGCATGGTCCCCCTTGACATGCACCAGGAGCCAGATGGCCACACATCTGGCCAAAAGTTCAATGTGAATTCCCATTTGAATTGATTCAACCGATTCCAGTGAATGTTTCTCATTCCTGTGACAGAACAACATTAATCCCTCTGCAGCACTTGGCTACGCTTTGGAAGAAGGGTAGGATGATTATGTCTAAAATGCTGCTCCATAAAGTTTGCAACCACCCGGTGTTTATCAAGACAACCTGCACACATGGCGTAAAGAACCTGAAACAGAGTAAAAAGTGAAAGCTTAGGATTTCTTTCTCTTAATTGAAAATAAATAAGTAGCCTAATAAAAATATATTCTTACACCTGGAAAAAAAAAAATCAGTTCTTTATAAAATTTGTGTTTAGTATGTTTCATATCTATACGCAGGAAATTATGTTGGAGATTTTAGCATGAAAGACCAATTGCAATCATAATATTTAAATAAAAATATATATAAAGTTGCCTTTCCATAATATTCAGTGTTCCATGATGTGCATTCCTGTGCTGGCAACGGCAAGGTCAGGGGATTGATTCGCAATATAAGTCGCTTCGGTTAAAAGTACAAATGTAATCTGCTCGTATACCAGATGTGAACGAAGCTGAGGACGGCCAAAAGAATCCCAGCAATGAGGGACACTGGAACAGCCAGCAGAGCCGTGATGATACGGTAAAACCAGACCCTGGACACTTCGAAAATAGCATGACTCCAGATCCACACCCGATCCCCACTGCGCACCGACACCGGCTCTGCTATCACATCCTCAAAACTAACCTGTCAGAAGAGAAAATTCAGTAAAGTAGCATCTTTTGTTCGCCATCATCTACCTTAAATTGAAAATGTCACCTGACAGCCATCTTGGAAAATGCACCGGTTTATTTAGTCCGTAAAAACACTAACTTATATTCAAATAGACAGCCCTACATTTGACACAAACAGGGAAAGAAGCTGGCTAAACTAATATTGGCTATGCTAACCTTTTACCAACATACATTAATTCACCAATGAACCTGCCAACAGTAGTAGTCATAAATCATGATTTAGATTTGATTTTAGACATGAATCTACATGTCATATCTATTCATACATTAAATGTATGAATAGCCTATAATTAGCTAAGTTACATGAACAGGGAAAGACAAAGCTGGCTAAGCTAACAATGCTAACCTTTCACTAAAACACATCACCAATGAATCTGACAACTGTAGTCAAAAATCATGATTTATTTTGATTTAGCATTTTAGACATGATTCTACATTTAAATATAAGAATTCAGCTTCTACATGAATAGGGATAGACAAGGTTGGATAAGTGGCTACGCTAATTTTCACTAACATCACCAATAGGCCTATAGGCTACCTGACAACAATGGTAAAAAATAATAAATGTAGCCTTCTTTTTTCCTTTATTACGGGACTTTATTACTACCACTGTCTATGATCACTACAGCTCCGAGGCGAGGGTAGCCTAGGCTATATTTATTTCTGTCTTCTCCTATTTCTGTTTGTGGTACTACACAGTATTTGGTGTGCATTTCAACCTCTTTAAGTATT